AGTTTGGTAACGTGACCTTTTCCCTAATTGTCGTTGCTGCTTTGTGGCCCGGGCTGATTTAAAGATTTCTTATCAGGCCACAGGATTTAGTCTCTAAAGCATTTTTGTTCCTTAATTGTTAAAAACAAAAGCCCTCGCCCATACACTTGTAACAAGAACTGAGACCGGCGAGGAATGGAGTTTTGCGTTGGAACGTGCAACTCGATTCCTGGGCACTTACATTTTTTTTTTACTGTTGTTTAATTTTTTCCTTAGTCTTGATGGGACGAGAAGTCGGCGACTTTTTACCTCACCACAACCCCGGCAACCTTACCTCCACCTCGCTCCTAACCCCCCACCACCACCACCACCCACCCACCCACCGCCCCCGGCCACCACCACCACCACCACCCGAGCTCTCTGTGCTCCCCGACCTCTCCCCACGATTCGGTTGATTAAAATGTTAACGAAAGCATAAACGGCTCTGACAAAATGACGGGTGGCGCATTAAACGGCGTATCTAAATACGAAGTAAATGCTGGAAAACTCATTTCTTAGCTTCGCTGTATCGGGTTTAAAGGGGGCCTCTCCTTCTGTCGCCAATGCATTTTATTCCGTTCCCCACCGCCCCCCCTCTTTTCATGGTCTGCTAATGCAAGCGGAATACACATTTTTTTATCTATTGTGCTCAACTGTACGCATTTCATAGTTATTTAAATTGAAAGTAAGACGTGCGTTTTTTTTCTTAACATTTTTACAAATGCTGCTGAAAACTTAATATTCATTCCCAGAGAAAGTAATTGCTCTTATTTGTGCCAACATAATGTTTATTCACAAACTCTAAAAGGGTTATAGAATTGTCAAAGCTAACTAAGACGCATTTTTTTTACCCAGCGTACACTCTGCTTCTCAAAACTTTATATGTTACCCGCTTTTTTTCTATTTTCCTGGGACATTGCATATTCAGGATTGGGTTTTTTTTCTTATTCTTGAAAATAAACCCAAAGTGTGCATTGCTTTCGTACTTTCCAAAGCGTCTTACGACCCGGAGAATACGGTAAATGGAACGCAGAACACAATTCGCGACAACTTATTCTGGGTTTAAAATTCAGAGACAACGCTTTTTCCCCTGCATGTCTGCCGCACGCATGTGTGTGTGTGTGCGTGGCTCTTTAAATGAGTGGTCACCTGATTTTATTTATTTGTGTTGATTGTTAAAGTAACCCTCTTCCCAACCGTGAATACACACCGCCACTTTGCGGCTAACTTGGGCACACTCGTTAGTGATGGTAAAGACGGCCACATATACATAAGTGCTGTCTGAAATAAAACTTTTGAAAGTGGTACAATCTCATGGCTGATTAATTGCCTATTAATTTGTTAATAATGTAATAAAATCAAACTGTGTTTTACACGCGTGTTTAATTAATTTGAGACAACATGCCCCTTGCAAGGCTTTCGTTGCGCAGGAAGCAGATGTCTGCTGCCTGCTGTGCAGTTGGATTTAAAATGTTTATAGTAGTTACAACACTGAAAAATGCGGTATCATTGATTTACTCACGTGATAATAATGTGCTCTGTAAATGAGAAAATTAAACACTTCGTTTTTCACTGCCAACACAGTACATGTATTATTCATTCACTGCCACTCACATCTGTGACATCGTGGAAGACAAATTGGGCCGTTTTTAATGCTGTTCAAAATAAATGTCCCCTTTATAAATTTGTGAAACCTCAAATTTTTTAAATACAAATCTTAATTACATTTCTGTGTAAAGTTTGCAATTAATTAACTGGACACGTTAGCAGAGCATGTTTGAGAAGCACCGGCTAAAACACGGTGAGCCGTTCCGGACTTGACTGTTAAAACCTAACAAAAACCCGGAGCATTTTTCTCTTTGCACTTTTGCTTCGGGCTGCCTCGTGCAGTGAATGGGTGCTGTGTGTGAAGCCCGCTGCGGCGCTGTTGCCTGTGGTGGTGGTGGGGTGAAGTGTGGGAACTGCACCTCCATTCCATTTGGCCAGAGCCGTTGTCGTACTCCAGGGAGCCGTGGCTCCACCCAAGGCCCCCCCCCACCACCTCCACCAGCAATCAAATGAATTGTTGAAATTTAGCGCCATAATTCGATTTAAGAATTAATTCCTTTTTTTACACGCTTTTATTTAACTCACTCTGTCTGTAGTTGTTGTCGTTGTTGTATATTCAAAACTTGTAACTCGATTTTAACCCACTTCCCAATGTGGTATCGACTGCAAACTTGGTATACTTATGTCATACTGATGACAATACTATATTCTATCATAAAAATATCTATTTTTAAACATTATTCTTTTTATGTTATATGTTTCGGCTTGGGTATAATTGTCCATGGTCAACTAACGTTGGCTGTAATTGCCCACGGTCCCTTACGTTATGGCAAGCTTCGGGGCCACTTCCTGGAGTCGTACATTTCATAAAAGCGTGTTTAAAAAAAAGTTTAAAAAATCTATTATTTTGTACGGACGCTGCTCGTGGTGTGCTGAGTAGTGGTCAGCACGCTGGACTTGTGTCCCAGAGGTCACCCCCCCCCCCTGTCCACACCATAGTTGGTCAATTGGCAGCTCGCTTGAGGTAAAGTGTGCGCATTGCTGCCTATTTCCAGACGTCCGGCCAGTGTGGAAGAGTAGGCCAACTGCCCTCTCTTGGGGCCCCTCTAGTGGAGGCCCTTCCGCCAGCAGTAGTGTGCGTGAAGAATTGCAGGGCTGCACCTTTACATTTTTACAATGTGTATTGTTTCTTATTTACTACACCTTATCTTATTTGCTCCATTAGCCTAAATATAACAGCATATAATTCGCATATACTTGACACAGATAAAACATCAATTCCCACACGCGACTGGATGCACGTATCATAAAGCTTACTAATCGGTATAAATTCATTACTAAAAGCAAATATAAACACAAATCTGGGTTGAGTCTCCACGTGCCAATACACTCCACATGTTGCTAAGCCCTGACCTTCCTAGACCAAATTATCTATCAGCATTTCTTCAAGCAAGCGAATCTGTGGACCAGTTGTAACCTGACTCTCATCAGTGGAGTCTGGAATGTAAAATGAATGCGCCTGGATTACCATTCGTTAGTGGGAAGGGCATTCTCAGTGGGCTCCGTCGTAGGGATGTCCCTCCACTTTAATTTTAGGATCGTTTTAACTCTTTGCTGCAGGACTACTTTTACACATTACCTCAACACAATGGAGCTTATACATTTAAATTATATTCGTACTTGGTCATGGCTATTACTCGGATCACGTGGGTTGCGCCGTAGCCTGCCACACTTCCCCTCGCTGCGCTCCTGCATATATATTTGGGCGGTGATGTAATTGCCTTTGAATGCAATTAAGTTGTTATGTTAAAACACTGATTTTTTAATTGCAACTTTGCATGACATTACATGGATCACTTTTCGCGGGTCTGTACATTATGGGAAAATAAAGTGCCTAATAATTTTTTTTTACTTGCTGCCCCTGAAAAAAAAGGATGTCACTGCCACAGTGCATTATGGAGAAATGTTCAGAACGAGCAAAGAGAAGTGGCCCAGCGACTGGTGCCTGTTTGCAAGTGTAATCTTGGGTATCGCATGTCTTCCGAATACCGCTATCCCACACACGTAGGTCGGGAGGTCACGACACCAGGGCTGTAAGCCAACCTATTTAACTGGGACACAGGCGAATGGGAGCTGCCGCAGCAGCGTAACGGTTAGGACACCAGACGTGGCACGCTCGAATTAAACGCGTACGCTACGACTGCGGCGGCGAAGCTTAAACACTGGGCACGGTTTGTTAATTGCGGGCACTCCCGCCTCTGGCCAGTGTGGAAGAGTAGACCGAATTACCTCTAGAGCTCCCTCTAGTGGAGGACATCCTGCCAGCAGTCGTGTGAGCGAGCAATTGCAGGGCTGCACCTTTACCTACAATTCATTGCCTCCGTTGCAGTGGAGACATAGATATGCGTCGTTCTTGTTACGTAAGGACAATGAAACAACGTTGCCGAGCCCATGGTAATTTTAAGGCCACTTGGGTAAGATTTTGTTTCCTTTCAAGTTTTAACAAGAATTTACAACAGTTGATATTGACGCCGTGTCGTTTGGCGATATCTTTCTCATTTATGAGTAAACAGTTGTGAATGCGGCGCTGACGGATGATTCTTTAGATGGAGACGGGCTGAAAAGAAGTTTGTAAATTCAAAACATACGTTTACTCTTTCTGAGAGATGGCTGTAACCGGCATTCCTTTCTGGAACTGGGCCCTGTTTCCCCGTCTTTACGCGGCGAAGTCACGCAGAACCTTTGCCTTGACCTGGATTTAAACGAAGCCGCGTCACTTTGCCGTACCACCTGTCTGGCTTCTCGTCAGTATCAATGCGAACGCTCTACGAGCGATTCTACTCCCTAAGGTCTACGCCAAATGGCCAACAACACCCAGTGAAAATAACGTCTGTCACATTTTCTCTGGCTCGGCAAGGTCTTGCCGGGAAAAACCTCGATTGTCGATGCTTTGGGGTTATGGACCAGTCCAGTCTATTCTGGATGAGTTTCAAATAAACGTTTTGTCGATATCAGATGGTGGATATTCAGGTGCCAATTTCGGATTAAATTTTGTATTTTCAAATTGCTTATTCCTTACCGTTACATTTTGCTGTAACGGGCAACTCGGATTCCTGTCTGCGTTATCGGCTACCGCCTTCATCCATAATCATCGTCAGATTTGATCTATCCACTGCTGGACGAATGCCATCTCCTCAGTCTTGTGTTGCAACATTGCCCCTTTGCAACACGAGAAGAAAGACACGTCTCAGCTATTCATTGTCTAAGGGAACCAATTTTTTTAAAGCACTTCGTAGTTTGACTAGGTGACGCATGTATACGAATATCGATTTTCATATTTTAAAATTAAATGAATGGATAAATGTTTGCGTTGAACAATACGTGCATATGCAGTCCACGTGTCTAACGCTGCACCCCGCTGTTGTTTGTTTCAGACGATGTCGCAGGAAGAGCTGCAGGCAGGTGTGTGCCTCGATCAAGCTGTGTTGTGTGGTTCTTTTTACAACAGTTCAGAAAGAATTGTGAAGTCTCCTTTATAATTTTAACTCAAACGTGATCACACGAACGTGGGGCCTGTGGACAGCCTCGTGTTACCCCGTTTTGTGTTTAGTTTGTTGCCCTTCCCCCGCACCTCCGATTAGTACGGTTGGCTACGTGCAGTGCGAAAGAAGTTCAACGTACACACACACACACCCTGACAGCTAGAGTGGTGGGTGGGGAGGACCGGCTCAGGTTCTGGCAATTCTGCTCTAGCCATGCACGCAGCCAGAGTTGACGGGCAGAGGAGTTAATCTCGTCGTCAAAAATACAACCATGGCTGTACTGAACAATTTTGCCTGTGGACCGACTCGATTATTCCAAGGTGACAGGCAAATATGAACATGGCCACTGACCGAGCGCTGTTCTGTGGCCCAGTGTCTGCGTACCTGGAGGAGGGAGTGTTGGTGCGAGGTCTCTGGAGGGAGAGTCTGGAGGTCGTCATCGCTAAAGTGGCCCGGAGCTTCACGTTGGTGCTCGAAGACAGCGGGACCCGGGACAGCCCCTGGTGCTACTTTGTCATCAAGGTAAGCCGATGATTTTATTCAACAGAGTTTCAAACTCGTGTGCAAGTTCAAGCCAAGGTGACAGAAGTTGCGGAATTAATAATGAAAACACATAACAGGGTCTTTTTTTAAAGTTCCACTCCTGCTGCAAGCTGGGTTTTTGATTCTGTATTCTCCAGAATCAAACTCGGGTCGCCAGGTTCGATGTGCAGTACGCTCACCGCTACACGCACCACTGCTCCATAGTTCTTATGAATACATTTCTCTCTCCTATCTCCCGTTATGTTCAGTATGCCTGTGGCCTGCTGCCTCCACTCTGTTCGGCAGTCCGGCCCTTAACACAGAATGCTTGGGACACCCCTGCGTATATAAATGATAGGCCAGTGGAAAATATATCGCTTTCCTGTGGTGAGAAGTCGAATGCAGTTGAGCACAGCTGCTCCGAGTTGGCATGAGGTGTTCATTATGCATGTTACATGCGTGCCATTGTGGTGCAATTATGAGCTTTTTGTATGAGACTCGCATTCCTCTAACTCCCACATTTAATGAAGCGCACCGTAATACAATTACTCGATTTTCATGTAGCACCAAGAGTAAATCAAATTTTCAATTGATTGAGTTTCAAATATGGTTTTATTGCTGCAATTTTTTTATTTTTATTAACTGTGTTCAGCAAATGTTACGTTGAGTAAGCGGACGTGATTGGCTCGGCAGCCTCCACTTGTGCTGCCCTGCCGTGCGTTCCGATATTAAACGTAGAGAGACCTCAGATTTTAACTGCAGTTGTTTATGAGTTCTGTGAAATTCAGCTTGACTTTTGTTTACTTGGCTCTCTTCAACTCAAACACGAGCTCAACATCATTTTGTACCCGGATTAAGCGGCAGTCTTTTTTTGGGGGGTAAAAAAGATTATCTGTTTCCGATGTTTGAGAAGCTTGCCAGGCATTGATGCTGCAGCCTACCGCTGTCAGGTTCGCGGTTATCCGTTAACCAAACAAAAACACATGTGCCGTGCCGTGCTCCAGCCTGCGCCTCTGCCACACCCGCACACGTGACCGCGTCTCTCCCAACCCTCCTCGGATCCCTCCACTGGCTCCCCACACGATCGACTTCAAGATCAGCTTCACCATTTGTAACATCCCACCTACACGGACGTACCCCTGCCTACAACTTCCCCTCAGCCCAAGTTTCTTCTTTCAAACTCAACCCCCGCCCCCTAGTTCCAGATTATCTTTGTACATTTCAGTAATATTCTTTTGGTCTTGCGGTAAAGCCATGTAGATAGAAAAATATAAAAAAATATCACGACGTTTCGATCGCAACAGCAAGCAATCGTCTGCTCTCACCTGAAGACGATTGCTTGTGTTGCGATCGAAACGTCGTGATATTTGTATTATTTTTCTATCTACGTGGCTTTACCGAAAGACCCATAGAATATGTATTCCTGCAGTCACGAAAGCTTTAAGTCATCATTTCTGTAATGTGATGAAGAATGGAGTTTGAAGATATTGGGTTTAAAAAATTGTTAACCAGCATTATATTTATTTCACGTTTGAAGGGGCGGTGGCATTGTCCAGTGGGAGAGCATGTGCCGTGTATTCCAGAGCTTCGTGGTTTGACACAAGCGGCCGCCCTGGTTAATACTGCGGGTGTATTCACCAAAACAAGATGGCGTCGTCTGTTTCATGGTGGGGCACCACGATGGCAAGCTATTAAATTCCTCGCCTGGTATGCAGGAGGTCGTGGGTTTGAACCCAATCCTGATGCGTGTATATTTGGTGTTTGCACGTTCTCCCCGTGGTCGTAATGGATATTTCTCCTTGTCCTCCGGTTTTTCCCTCCACATTTAGTAGCATGCGTTTAGAGTATTTGCCTGCTGTTACTTTCCACGTGATAAGCCACTTGGTTGAGCTATCATTTGTGGCCATGTCGCTTCTGAAAAAGAGCTGTATAGCTCAGTGGGCCTTACCTTGTAAAAAGATGTAATTCGTTTTTAGTTCAAAGCGAATGTTGAAAATCCACGCTGTTATTTAGAAATGGACAGCCAAAACCACCAATACACAAGTTCTGCAAGATATGGGCACTGACAGGCAACTGCTGAAGACCATCATTAGCAGGAAGTGTTACTACCTAGGCCACATTGCCCGAAACGACCACAAATACCAGCTATTAAAGCAAATCCTGGAAGGAAAAATCGAAGGGAAAAAACGACCAGGACGGCCAAAAACGACATGGCTCAGTAACATCAAAACATGGCTACAATTAACAACAGCACAAACTCTACACGCCGTGCTAGACCGGGACCAATATCATCGTGAAGTCGCACACGCCGTTAGGCAGCACTAAAGAAGAAGAAGGCCATGTGTGCCGGCCTCACGGTCAAAATTTAAAAATTACTTGCAATTTGCCTATTTGGATGAAGCCACATAGCGATGTCCCCCCTCGACTGTGAAACTACTGCAGGCTGCAATCGTCCATGAAATGTAATGCCTTAGCGATCGCCTTAATTCCTAACATGAAATTCTGATTTTTGGAGAAACACAATGGGTAGAGTTTGAAAACGGATGATATAGAGATGCCTGCCAATGTTGTGTCTGTGCGAGTGAGATCCGTGTTCTGCTCCCCGGTTGCCACAGGTGTGCCTGCAGATCTTCCAGCTGTTGGTCTCCGATTTGAGAAGTATCCTGGAGTCGCGAGAGAGGGTTGCTATCCAGCACAACCTAACAGTCATCCTCCAGTCTCTACTCCAAGTCGTTTCTGGCCTGGTGAGACATTCATCGAGACATTCTCAAGTTCTTGTGTATCAACGTATCCGCTGGACTGTGTATTTTCAACATCGTTGAGATGTATTATATGCGTCATGTGTGTATTTTGTTTTCGTTTAATTGTGAGTATAGCATTTACACTGTGATGCTTGTGTGGAATACAAGAGCCATGTTTGTGTTTGTGTGTGATAGTTCCCCGAATTAGTCTGCCGGGGGTTATTCCTGCCTTGATTTTTACGACTTGGCTTTGCCATATGTTACGCTCAGCCCCACACAAACACTGTGGTTGTTATTGTTGTTACATATTTCTGCACGTGATCACAATGTCTTCAGGAAAACGCACTTAAGCTGACATTTAAAGGCGTCATTTTTCTGCCCGTGACTTCAAATGTTGCGCAACGTGCCGTGATAGAGCACTGCAACTTTATTGCTGCTGTTTCGCAATACAGTTGCACATTACCCACAAATGGAAAACGATCGTGGGTAAAGCCATCTACGATCTTGGCACGGCAATGTCGAGTGAAAATCACGGCTTAGGTGCGGGGAGTAAAACAATAAATCATGGAAATGCCAAGGAACATGGTGCGATAGTGCCCAACCAAATAAACCGTGTTTTGTTTGTTTAGTTTGTTGTCCATCCCCCGCACCTCCGATTCGCACGGTTGGCTACGTCTGGTGCCAAAGTAGTTCTGCATACATACGTACATCAAAGTCAAACAAATAAATCAAAGCAAATGTAATTGCTTTGACATCTGAATACATTTGGATGGAATCCATTGCAACAAATGTGGATTCATTATTTCACGATGTTTTCATCGATTTTGGTGTGAAATGGGGGAAGCCCTGGGCCCCTCACCCGCTCCGTTTAGATGACAGCGGTATCGGTGGCGGCAGGGGTCGTCATCGCCACGGCCGCGATCGCCGGTCCCAGCTGCTGCCTCCGCTGTGGAGCAGAGCGGTGACGAGCATCGTCGGTGATGGAACTGAGATGCCGGAAGGATTGCGCTTTCCTGGCCTTTAGGCCTCATTTGTATTGATCACAGGACAGTCATATGGAGGTTTTAAATGCTGTGCCTCAAGTTTAGAATGCATATTGAATGTATTAGTTTTGCCGGGCAGTGCCTTGTAATGATGGCACTAGGCCAAGGGAATCTTTTGGAGAGAGGTTAACTGGTGAAGTCATCGGTAATGTGATTGCTATTCCCCATTGTTCATGATATATGTCTACAATATGCTTCTTAGAATCTGTAAATGATAAGAAAAGCCCATCATTCCAGAAAAATAGTTCAGGCCAATTTAAAAACAACGCACAAAACGTGCACAAGCACCACTTGTCATCCATAATAGAGGTGTTTTGGGTTAGATCGCTAAAGTATGTAAAAGTGTCGTCAAACCCGCCACCACCCAACACAGCCAACTAGTAAGGGTTGTCACTTAAACAGAACGTGCCAATTCGTCGCTAGTACAGCACACCGGTGTGTTGGAGAGCCAAGCCATAACATTTACAATCTGAGTACGACGTTTCGCCAGTAATTACAACTAGCTTCATCAGTCTAACGAAACAGGTGGACTTCTCCACCAATCTGGATGTCGCCTGATGAAGCTAGTTGTAATTACTGGCGAAACGTCATACTCAGATTGTAAATGTTGTAAACTTTCTCTCCAACACACCGGTGTGCTGTACTAGTGACGATTTGGCACGTTCTGTTTACGTGACAACCCTTACTAGTTGGCTGTGTCGGTTGGTGGCGGGTTTTAGCGACACATTTATATATTTACCCGATCTAACCCACAAAAGCTCTATTATGGATGATATTGGTCGCGAAAGCCTGCGTCTTAAACCGCTTGTCATTTGTGCATGATGCTGAAATCATCAGCAGATCCTGAAGAAGTGCATTGTGGTCTTCGTGTCTTTGGTCACCGTCAAATTTAATTTGAGCAACGTGTGTGCATCCGTCGGTCTGCTGCCTATCAGTCGTCACATTTTCTCAAATAAATGTTGATGATGACCAAAGCAAGACAGACCACAATGCACTTCTTCAGGAACTGTTGATGTTTTTTTTTGGCATAATGGACCAAGACAGAGTGCTGTTTACAAGCTTTTGAACGCAATCCATTTGGATCGTTGACGTCACACATTGTTGCACGGGAAAAGGATCCCCGGATGATTGGTTTGGCGTGTAAAGTAGATGATGACGAGTGCTAAGCACACAATATGTGTGTGTAATGTTAGCACCAAGTAAACAAATCTCTGGTCTAAGTTGATCTCAGTTCCTAGCGGCCGGATTCTCCAATCTCAACATTCTCCCCGTGCGGAACTTCAACACAACATGCATCATCGTTAATTGAAAAGTCTTATAGAAGTGGGTTTCAGCTTCCAAGGGCGGGACTTTAAACCGTTTGGTGGGACCATCCTGAAAATGGTCCCCATATTCAGTGGGACTCTCCTGGGAATACAAGAGTTGTCGTAGTCGTAATAATGCTGACATATGTAGAACTGTAAAATACTACTTTCTCACTGGGATTTCGTGTCTACTATATACTTGTTTTTTTTCTTTTAAAGCTCGATAGAACGTGCTTGTAAAAGAACGCGGCAAGTGGTGGTTATCATGTTCTCCCAGAGGGGCGAGGGGGCGGGGGGGGGGGCAGGAAAAAAAAGTTCAACTTGCCGTGGGCCTCACACCCAAGAGGGCCCCAGAGTGGCAGGCCCCGTATTATTTTTTCCACTCGCGCGTAAGCGGCCCCACGTGGCATTATGCCGCCGGGACCTCCACGCCCCCCGGGGCCTTCCAGAAGCCTCCGGGCAGCGCTTGTGGTTATGAAATCGGGAAACACGGAGGTGGGCATTGCCTACAGACGACGCCGTGAGAGGACCGAGCGTGCTTGGCCTCTCTGCGGACTTCGTTTCTGTTCTAGAAGCATTTCGTCACCAAACTGTCGTCGTGCTTGAACTATTCGTCTCGTGCGGTGATTGGATTGGTCGTTTGCTAATTAAGAAATACAAGCGCAATAGATGCCATTAAGGCAATGATGTCCTTTATTACATAACCTCATGCGTCGTTTTCATTAAAACGTTTTATACGTGAATCAACTCTGTATTATTGCTCTCATTGCTTAATGTCAACGGTGGCTGCGAAATTTTACGTGATTTTTTTTTAATGAAGTTGTGCTGTTCCCTGTGCCTACAGAGCCAGGCTTTAAATCCCTCATTGTGCAGTGAACCATAAATGTGAACAGATGTCCTTTCGCGCGTTGCAGATTCCACATCCCGAGTATTGCCCGGTAATTTCTAGCATCGCGAGTAATCCATTAAAAGTGAAGGTCAGGAGGTCATCACGGTCAATACCATTGATGCCACCGCAATGCGATGGCAATGTGGCTTTATATAGCATCCAAATAAAATCGCATCTCAAGGCCGCTATACATAAACGGTGGGAATATTTATTCTGTACAGACGGTCAGAGGAAAAAATGGGAGGTCTTGAGTCTGGACTTGAACGGAGGGGGCGGCAGTGGACAGCATTGATACCTGGGGGAAGAAAGTTCCACACGATGGGGGCAGCAGGAGAAAGCAAGGGACCTCAAAGTTGACACACGACCTTTGAGGCTCTGTCTTAGAGTATCCCTCCACCTGCGTTGAGGTCTCCACTTGGGAGATGGGCTACATCGCGAGTGGAGTCTTCCGTCGGTGGCTGATAAAAGAGGATGTCTCGTCAAGGGTCGCCGCACTCGTCGCGTACCACAACCGCTAACGGCAGGTGCCGCCTCCAGCGCGCCGGTGACTCCCGCATACATGGGGAGAGAAAGAGCGACCGCCTGTGTTGCGCCAACCGACCACAGAGCGACACGAGAGCCACTTCACCTTTTACTTTTGTGCGCTTTTTTGCTTCGTATCGCTGAAACCTGCACCTCCGATTAACGCGGTTCGGCTATGCACGGCTCGAAAGAAGTTCGGCAGCATGCACACACACACACAACGAACCGCGCTGCCGAACGTTGCACCAAACGGCGCAATCGTTGTGAAAGCGCGCGACCGCAACGAGGTGTGCGCGAGAACAAACGCGGACACTCGCTCGCGCAACCCTCGTTCCCGCAGGGCACGGAGAGGCGCGCGCGCGCGTGCCTGGGTCCGCACGCGTGCACGCGAACCGTTGCCTGCGCGCCGAGCCGCCGGGCCGATTAATGAGTAGCAGGTGCCCGGCCACGGCGGCAGCGGCAGCGGGGGTCGCGGTGACCAAATCCATTAGCGTCAGCAACATTTCCAAGGCTTACGGATCACGCACCACAATTAGCGCTCGTTACACGTGACTGGTCTGGGAAGTGACTAATCTGCATCTAAAATAGTTAATTAGCCCTGTAAAATTAAAGTCTGGGGCTCCACAATAATAGCCCCATTTTTTTGTTTTAGTTTTTGAATATTTCAATGTTACCCGTGTGAATGACGAAGGCTGGGAAATGCCTCTGAAAAAAAAAAAGGAATTGATTAAGTTGCTGGCGCAGACGTAAGGTTGAGTGAGGGGGTTGGAACCAGCTTGCCAAGGGGTTTACTATAACGAGGAATGATTTATTTCAATTTTTCACACAGGCGTCTAATGAGAGGGCCCTAACGTTTGATGCCAAGTGTTGTGGCTAATCCACGCCTCAAATACACATTTTTATGAAACTTGTTGAAATAAAAATAAATTTTAACTCTGCGGTCTGACATTTGAGCCTTGCCAGTGCCATATTGGCAGGAAGGGGTAGGCCTTGTGAGCTCACGAAGCAGGAGGGGAGGAGGCAAGTAGAACGGAGATGAATATGGTGCAACACTGTTGCAGTCATTCCAATAATTCTGGGGCATCATTCGACAATAACCATTTTAGACGGATGGATTATTGGCGAGAGATAGTTAAAATGCGAATATATTTAGCAATGCCGTGAGCTTTTTAACATCATACTTGGTCGAACATTCTTCACGATCGCTGGCCGTCCGACAGTACAAGCTGGCTTCTCATCGATGGAAATTGCCCACAGATGCGTTCCCAGACTTCCGTGCCTCTCCCTTGCCTTGCCTCACTTCGCTGAAAACATTTTAATGAGGGCGGCCTTTTTTAGGGAGGGTAGGCAAGGGGTGGGGGGCGTGTGGAGGGGCTGGCTGGCTCTGTGAAGGTGGTGGTGGGGAGGTTGGCGCTACAATGGGAACAGGAGGGACAATGAATAAATAAGCTTCCAACAACATCGCTTTCCATAGGAACAGATGTGGCGTGCACACTAGAAGGCACAATTCAATTTTTTGTTTCGTGGTATTTTTGATCGCTTGGTCTTAAAATAAAATATAAAATAGTTTTCACGTGCCCTTTGGGATTTACGTGTTTGTTACAGAATAAGTTGATTACTCTGGCCGGGTAAATGAATATACCGTTGTGCTGCCCCAGTGTATTTTGGGGTTTTACCGCACGCGGTTTGGCACGATGTCCGCCGTTCCGCTCCGCGTGTTACGGGCACGAGGACCAAAACGTCGGACACGGCGCGGGAGCGCGACAGCGCCGTTGTTGCGGCGTGGGACGGCTTCTCTAGAACGCGGGTGCCGGTCCACCACGGGCTACGCTGTGTTCTGTTCGGCTGCTCACGTGACGCAGTGTACGTTAAAATGTCTACGGTGAGGCCCCACTGTGGATTCCATTCAAGACCGGCGCACGATATTTTTCGTTTTTCATTTTGAAAAGGCCTTGCCCAAATTTTGACATTTCCCAGGAAAAAGTCACATTTGTGATGTGTACATTAACAGTTAGGAAGTAAAAATGTAATTGAGTATTTTTTAACCAAGCAAACATTAAATGTATTCATCCTTATAATAAGTGCACAGACTGGGTGGATTTACAGTTGAATGAGTCAGTGTGTCTTAATTTCATGGTTGAAAGTAGTTGTGTTCAGAACTTGGCTCATGGTTAGATTGCTACTTTATTTTAATATGCGGTGAACCACTTCCGGCACTTTTATTTCAATTAAGCCAATTCTGTACTTTTGTAGCTACTGAGGAAAGCTTGTGTTGACTGATTAGAAAGGCTCAGTTGTAAGGGTGGCTTTATAGGCCGAATTAACAACCATAGGAGGCCTGATAGTGTGTACAAAGGCACAGCAATGAAGAGGAGTGTGCGTGTGTTTATCTAATTGTGTATCATATAGGCATGCTGCCACGGTGTAATGGTTAACACACTTGACTTGTCATTTCGAGGTCACGGGTTCGAATTGGTCTCTCGGCACGCCAGTTGAAGCGGTGGTCAATTGTGGCGGGGTCAAGTGTGGGGGGGGGATTCCTGCCTGCTTCCACGCTGTCTGGCCAGCGTGGAAGAGTAGGCCAAATACTCTCTTTGACGGGCCCTCTCGTGCTTGCCCTGGTGGAGTTTCTTTCGCCAGCAGTGGCTTGAGCAAGCAATTACATCACTTAACCTTCACTTATTGCGTCATATTTATTTCATAAAACCATTAAGCTGAAACGTTCAGTATGTATTTCCTTCTCGGAAATAAATATAATAATGTGCAATGCTTTGTCAATCCACTGCTGGATGAAAGCCTTACCACACCGTGTAAGTTGTTGTGGTTGTTTGTCCGTACGTCGTCATGCTAGTCAATGCGCGTTGATGAAGGAGGGGAGATATTCAGGGCCGAGCGAGATATCAGCTGCCACTGATGTCAGCTTTAGCTGCGAATCGAACTCGGTGTGCTAACCACTGTGCCACCACTCCCCATGTAGCACGAATATGAAATATTGCGCTGGGATTTGAACCTTAGATCCTTGTCGTTTAACGCATTGCTTGTAACCCAGTACGCTACAGCATCACTGGCCTGAAGTACCAATTAACGTGCATATATAGTAAAACACAAGGGTTATACGCTTTCTCAACACTAAGGGTGTTCTTACAGTACTGTATTGTGTGAAAGGTTTTGTTATCATAATCAGCCGATGGAATCGTGTTTTGCTACCCAGCATTGGGATCCGCAAACCGTGTAGCGGACTCGGGCGGCTGCAATGATCACGTCTAATAGAGCGTGACGCCCGCATGCCCCTCCAGACCTGAACCATGCAAGTGCGCTGTCCATGTTTACGTTCTTGAACGCGAATTCACCGTGAACATCACCACGCGCTAGCGACGTGGCGCAATGCGATGTGGGAAAGCCTTGACACGGGCAAACGCGTTCTCCCTGTTGTGAAATAGTGAATTTAACATGCTCATTACCCAGTTTATAAATAGACACGGCCGCTAGCTGCCTGGGGTCCGTGTCGCAGGCGGAAGTCTGCAGCTGAGACGATTGGTGAATTAAGTCGATTATTTGACTTAAAATTACAATCGACCACTTCCTTTGTGGTCAATTACCCGGGCAGCCACCCCCCACATCCTGACTCCTGAAGGCGGGAGACCCCCTGCAAGCCACACCTAGCGTGACATGGCTGATGATGCCGATGACATCATTATTTTCCCGTCCAGTGGCACACTTGGGAACAGAGGTGAGACTCCCCCCCCCCCCCCCCCCCCCAACTGCTGTAGCGAAAATCCGATTAGTCGAGTTATCGAACTGATAATCGGCAGAGTAATCGATTACGTGACCAATTGGGTAGTCCAGCTCGACCGAAGTCTTCTGGTCTTCTGGAACGTAACTTTGAGGCGCTGAAGGCGGCCCTGCTCGCTCTCACCTGGTGCACGTTGCGTCTGCTGCGCGTGCCTCCTCCAGGTGACGGGCAAAGACGGCCGACTCCTCGCAGCCAACGCCCTGGCCTTGAGCGTCAACCTCCTGGAGGAGCCTACGCAGGCGGCGGCCGCAGCGAGGGACACGCTCCGTCTGACAGGTGGAACGCGCACGACGACACTTGCTCACCGACTTTGGTTTGCATTTGTACCTGCGTATGTTGTGCGTATGTTGTGCGTATGCACGTTGAACTTATTTTGCACCGTACGTAGCCGACCGTGGTAATCGGAGGTGTGGGGGAAGGACAACAAAAGCTAAACACAATAATCTATAGAGTTTTCAATCTAGATTTAAAAGTGCATAGCTCCAATGGCTTATTAATATCGGAAGGGCGCAGAAGCACATCCTAAAACCCGCGATGCAGTGACCGTCTTTATTCGACGGTTAGCCAGAATTTGCTGCGAGGATGACCGGAGTTTGCGTGATGGTTTGTGTTCCTTGACGAGATCGGCAGAAATTGTACTCTTCAAAAAAGTAACAGTAGCAGTTAGCTTGTTAAATTACTTTGGATAATCCTCAACCCACATTGATTTAATTCAATACATTCATTGAGAACGTATCGAATATGAATATCCATTTGCGAGTGAGTAGGTGAGTGTTGTAAATTCTAATTAAGATCCGGAGCTCGAAAGCTAAAATGTGTTACAAATAGAGTCGGGTCTATGCTTGTACCAAGCAAAGTCTTAAAACTTAATAATATATAAAATAATAAATACAATAAAAATTTGTGCCCCGGCGTTGGGGAGTAAAAATGTTGATCATTTTTATTTTTTTATCTTGGCTTGTGAAGCTTTGAATGTGGAGGTTTTAATTAGCGCTGCATAAAAAAAGACATCAAATAATTAAAATCCAGCCAAATTTGATGCTCCCAAAATTGCAACCCAAATGGCGAGGGAGTTGAACATTGGCACGAGCAGAGATGTCTGTGGTCATAGCTAGAACCGTCTAAAAATACAAATTTTCGAGTTTAGGTCTCCCAATTGTAGGGACAAAGGTTGTAATTTATTTTCATTATGAACTTATGTCAATGCAAGTTTTGTCTTTGTGGGTTTAAAAAAAAACATGAAATACAAAATGTAACATCAGACATCAACATGGAACATTCTCGTGTACATTTCAGAAGATTGTGCCATGAAAGCCGATCAAAGGGCAAATCCCACTCTCAGTGACTAATGCTGTACAAACATTATACGAATATTGCACTAGGGCTTACGACTTGTGCTGTCAGTCTTCGCGGCTTTGCTCTTTTATTGTTAACTGACAAACACACACATCTATATTATGACGTGACTCTATTGGGGGTTGGAGTGCTATGAAGAAGGTCCATTGCCTGAAACGTCGCCCGTCACCTTTCATTGCAAGGCCGTGTTGTTGACGAATGTGTTCACTTTGGTCTCGTTGGGGTTGCAGTGCTCACTGACCAATCAGAGAGATTTTCCAGGATCCTGAGTCTGCTTTTGTAAATTGTATCGAGGAACGCTTCATAACTGCTGCTTGCTGCAAGCTCGAGTGATGATGCCCCTTGAGTTGATGCCCCTCGTGCCATGGCCCAAGGGCTTTAGTGGTGGCTGCCCAGCACCAGCCGACGCTCACCACGCGATTGGCACGTCACCGCACGGGGCTGTGCCACACAAAATGTAGATTTTTTAAATCTGTTCTTTGATTCGAAGAACAGAACAGAGCCTAATTTATAAAAAAACAGAAACCCTTCCAAAAAGTGTATAGCAAATAAAACGTAGTCACATTTTTTAATGATAAAAACCAGGAATATTTGGCATGTGTTTTGCATCACCGACTCTCAACGAAGCTCATCTTCTTTCGAGTGAGGAATTGACTATTACCGTAATGTGTACCACACTGTCCATGTGCCACACATTGCCCTGCGAAAGTTTGGCCGGTGTCTGTTGTGTAACGTAATGCCCCACGGTGTCCGGTCTCGGCTAGGGACTTGATAATGCATATTCATTTTGAAAGTTAGAACCTGCACGTTTTTCCAATGAGATGGTGCATGATGCCAGATCCATGTCCTAAAGGGCAGCAAATTGACGGATTGTTTCTCTCCATGTTCAGCAGGAACAGGTGTACTGCAGATTGGGCTGTTCCGGCTGCGTGCATCAGACTTGCAGTGGGATGATTTTTCGTGCCTCGCCGTCTGCAGGGGTCTCATTACCTGCGCCAGGAAGGATGTTCTGCTGTCTTCTGTCGATGCTCAGGTGCTAACTTCTTGAAAATCTCACCGGCGTTGTCGTCACCATCGAGCGCGTCTCTCGTGCCGCGACGAGCGCGATGATGCACCGCGGCCCCGCGGCCCTGCGGCAGGGCGGGCGGGCGGACCCGAGGGAGCGCTTGTTCGCTGGCCGTCGCAGGTCACTTGCGATGTCCGCATCTGCAAATATTGAATTTGTGTGCCGTGACATTGGCTCATGACACACAGCCCTCATGGATTAGCTCGGTTGGCTACCTACGGTAAGAAAGAAGTTCAACATACACACGCGGCTTGTGGACGGGGCTCTTATTATGAAACACACAGGGTGTCCTCAAAAGTGTCGTCCATTATAAAAGGCTCGTAATTAGGCAGCAGTTTTAACTGCGTGGTTCAAATGTTGGCAACAATATTTGTATGTCCGGTTAACTCTCGATTCATCTGGATTGCCGATTAAACCGTGCTCGCTTGGTTGTATTATTAGCTGCTCCTCACTCGTCGAACACCAAATGCACGAGACTAATATTCTGGCAGGGATAAAACATGCGAAATAAAATCTTCATGTTGCCAGGCGTATCGAAGTAGCGCATGCTGCTGCCCAATTATTATTTTTCATTAATCGTGGAAGGATATCTTTACGGACACCCTCTATTGCATATCGATCTTAGATGCCTTGAGGCGTGTGCGGGTTGGGTGACTGGAGACCCTGACCGCTGGCAACGTGGCTCACGGGAGATCATGGCAGTCACCAGCCGGCCGAGACTCCCGTTGAGATGTTTCGTGTTAGTCGTGTCTGATCTGTGAAAAGACGTCGTGTCTCCTCCTGAGACACGACGTTCTTCATTATGCGCAGGTGAACCTCGTGCATTGACGCTAATGCAGGGGGACTTCTTCGTAAATATAAAAATATTAGGGTTTTTTTTTTTCTCCCCCAGAATATTTTAAGGCTGATCCTGTGTCGTTGCAAAATGCAATTGGTGCCAGCATGCAGCCACGTCAAGCCTGCAACTGATAAATGCTTGACGCTGTCAATGTGTGTTTTGGAAATTATTGAAACCAAAACTAACATGCATGTTGCAAATCGATGGGGGCACATTGATTGCTGACCTTTTTATATTAAGAGCAAAGTAACATTACTCCAGAGATAGCCAACGTGGATATTTATATTGTGTAATATCTGATCTGTGAAAAGATGAACTTTGGCTGTGTTGAAAACACTTAATCAGAATCTCATTCTGTGTCTCCGCATGTACAGAAAACCAATATTTAGTTCATCGGCCTGTCGGCTCTCTCGACCAATATTATCCTGCAGCATTTGTTCAAGTAAGCAAACTGGACTGGTTTTGACGTTCTGGCTCTTATCAGCAGTGAGTTTGTGAAACATATGTTGCTGGAGTGCCCTTGCCAATAACCCAGAAGCATTTGTTTACCAAGCATGGTGCAGCTGATGAGACCCAGCATGGCAAAACTAATCCAGAGTTTGCTTGCTTTAAACAAACGCCGCCGGATAATATCCATAGTCCTGTTTGTAAATACAACCACGGAGTTAAATACATTGTTTGAATATGAAATCACCTCCATCATGGAGGAATTCCAGCCATTCTCAGTCCACAATTAGACGAAGGCCTTCTCTCACGCCGTGACAGCATTGTTTATTTAACCATCCTTAACTACGCCACCGGTAGTGCTGGTTGCTATCACCTGTCGTTGATGTTAGCTGTCACCGGGGATCGAACTCGGCTCGCTGGGTCTATCGCACAGCCACCACTCCTATCCGTAGAGTACTATCGGTAATAAAGTAATCAAGAGATTCGCCTGTCTCGCTACATGAATCGTTTCTTTGAGGTCAATCAGCATGTTGGCTTTCTGGACCACGTGTTTTCTTGCAGCATTTGTTTAAGCGGGCAAACTCTGGACAAGGGTCGACTTTCCATGATGGCGCATCATTGCGTTTTCTTCTGTTTTGCGCCGCACGTTCCCCCAGAGTGCTGTTGGACTTTTGTCTGCGACGTCTGCCAATCCAGTAGCTTTTGTTGAAGGGGCCTGGGCCGCAGGTTTCCTGCTTCAACATTTGCTGCTTTATGTCAGTGGAGCCGGTAGGTGCTGTCTCAAGCCGCTTGGCCGCTGTAACCTCTGCGCTGAACATGATCGTCGTGTGTCGCGCGCCAGGGTTGCCTGCTGCTCGACTCGATCTTCCCAGCTCTGTGCAGACTCTGTGGGCAGCGACAGGAGGCCCAGTACCACGCGTTCCAGGGTACGTCAGTCCATTCAGAGGGCACATTCAGAGGACACCTCAAAAACACTCCACCGCGTTCATCACGAAACACCCGCTCGGGGTGAATCGTGATCATTTCCTAGAAACCACGGAACGGCAGAAATGCTTAATTGTTATCCATGATTTTGGTTAACACTGAGCACGGATTGTTCACGATAACACCACACGTCAACAAATGGGGTAAGCTTGCAAAGATATACGGACAAAACAAATCTTCGTAATGCTAAATTGTCAAAATACAAGAGATACATTTGGGAATCTTGATTCCAGTGAAATGCAGCTTTCCATTAAACAACAAGAACCGCCATGCCCAATAATACTTAGCGATGCGAGACGAAAGCACGGAGACCACGGCCAGAGAATGAAAGCTCCGGCAGCCTCGGTGGGTTTAAAATGTACTCATTTCTCATGAATGTCAAATGTTCTCAAAAAGTCAGGGATGAGAAACGTCCAGCCTGAGAGGAGACCCCCGCATAGCGGCTGAATTCTCTCCGATCTTGACTGCGTTTTTTTTAAAAACAAGAATGAGAGAGCGAAATAAAAAAAAATCCTCATGTTCCTGGGAATTTCCTGACTCTAAACCGCGTTGTGCTGAGCTCATCAAAAAAAAAAGCGATCTTTGATCCGTGGGACTTTGACATTTGAAATAAAATAGCAACGAGCTATGTCTGAAAAGAATGTGGATGTCCTTTGCTTCGGCGCTCGCCGATGGGGCGAGTGATAACCGTGCTCTTGCTTGGTCACTGACAGCTTTCACTGTGTGCTTGCTGGAAGCTCCTCTGGTCACTGATGGCTATCGAGAGCCTGGAAGTTTGCTTCTTTTTTTTTACCCCATGCCTATTTGCCCTTGTTAAATGCCTCGATGTCAATATTATTACATTATGGTATCGTCGTCAGCTGTGATCAATCCACTGCTGGATGAAGGGCTCCCCAAGCCATCCTAAATCTGTTTACATGAAAGGACATTTTTTTAACCACTAAAATTTTACTTCAATTGAAAAACTATTGCACTAAATGGGAACAACAATGTTTAGGCCCCTTGGCACCGAACATTGAAGCAGACACTTTATCTCTGTCTACCAACTTCAGCCGTGTCTACCAGCTTGAGGAGCGGGGTATGGTGACGGTGCTGTGCACATGGAGATGGGGAGTCATCTCTCACGTGCCACGAATTTGTATCCAGCAAGCCGCTAAGTGGCGAGCGCTTTGCACAGCCAATTCAAGTCGACGTGTTTAATGTTTTTTTCTTTTTCCATCTTCAGCAGCTTTTTTTTCCTTGGCGGTGTTTCACGCTTGATGCTAATGCTCCGTGTCAGGTTTTTATTGATGCGGGGGTTTCCATTTCTTGTCTTTTGCAGATGTGGCACAGTCTAATGATGTACATTCTGAAGCATTTGTGTGTTATAATCTTCGGTCAGAATTCATTAGCATAGCTCTGCCTTAGCCTCAGAATTTTACAGCTTGTTTTATTGTTAACATTTTAATGACTCTATTAATCTGGGTTTAGAGCAACGTACAAAACATTGAAATGGACTTTCCAAATCAAAACCAGGCTCAATGAACCAACGACAATAGGCTCATGTTGCAAGGCGCCCCTCTCTTGCCATTACGTACACGCGTGTCACCTGACGGCAGGCACTTCATTAACGCTTTAACAAGTGGCCAAACAGCAATTGCCGTGCGCGCTACGCACTCCGTTCTGCGTGCTCCGTTCTGCGTGCGTGTGTGCGGTGCCGGGCCCCGGCAGTGCTGTGGCTGTGGATGCGGTGCGTGCGGAACAACTGGCGTGACCTGGCCGACCTCGTGCCCGGGCGTCGCGTCTTCCCCGACGGCGGCCCGCGGCTCGACAGCATCCTGCTGCTCCTGCGCTGCAACTGGGAGAGCCCGGTGAGCCCTCGCTCGTCGTCCGTCTCCGCAGCTCCGCTCCGCCCCCGCCCTCCCCCCCACGTCTCGCTCGGACTCGTTTAGAACGCAGCAAGCTGTCCTTGGCGCGCCGGACTCGCCGTACAGAGGTCGACCGGTCCGATCTCCTGGCGCGGCGGTCGAAACAACGGGGGTGTTGACCTTCCCCTGCACCTCCAATTAGCACGGTTGGCTACGTACGGTGCGAAAGACATTCAATGTGCACACTTACAAATCCCCACCCGCGGCCGGTGCCCGCCCAGCAGTGTCCAGTGGGTGCGTGGCAGTCAGCGGTCAGTCGATGGATCAGGTCAAATTGTGCCACTCCCCCCAACGCGAGACGTGAGGTGAGCCAGCCGTTCCTTTACATCGGTGGTTCTCAACCGGCGGGGTTAAAGGCTGCAGCACGGATAGCGTGCAGGAGAAATTTTGAATGCGTGTGCGCGTGCTAAGTCGGCACACACGCTGCAGTAACAACGCACTAATGCGCAATGTGAAACAAATGCCTTACGAACTCCACGTCGACCAGAGGTGTGGACACGAGATTTCCGAACTGTGTGTGTTTTGGGGCACAAGTGGTCTTATGCTTGGGGCCACCAAACCAACGGAGAGACAGCAGTGTCACCCACTTATCTCTCACGTAATTTTTTTTCAAGTTTAGTCATCACTTTGCACATTTGATCTCTTGAACAGCGCGCTGCACCACCAACTCTTAAGTCTCTGTTGTAAATACTTAGGGAGATTAGGGGCAGTTGACAATCGTTGGGAATTTGTAAACCCTCAGGGGGTTTGTAGATATCGAACACAATCGCAGGCCCTCTTGTCTCTGCGTAAACTCGGGAGCCGTGAGGAGGGAGGAGGGCATGGAAGAGTTCCCCTCTTATGTGCAGCACATTGGCCTGGCAATTGTGAATGTTCCGTGATGCATTACAGATTACAGCATCTGACCTCGATAATTGGATTGCAGTTAAGTTCCCTAACTGCTCACCGTCAAGTTGCACTGCCGCTGGATTAAAGTAGATTCCGTTTGTTTAATGTTGACACGTGCATAATGTTAACACAAGTACTTTTATTTGTATACAACTTACACTATGTATGTGTGTGTGTGTATATATATATTGCCTTGCCTTTATTGTGTATTTATGAATGTTGAAAGGCGTATTGTAATGCAGTTGATCTGTGTATTCACGTTGGGGGTTTTTTCACGTAAAATAAGCTCAGATTTTAAAGTGGAGCAGCGTGAGGTAAACATTCTGGTAGGCCGCGTCCTCAACATGGGCGGAAGAATCGATGAGTGAAGTTCACAGGAACAGTAACCGTGGCGGTGGTAGCAGTTGCGATAGAAGGGGGCGACTGAACCACCGGCGTGCGAGTTATCGGAGAGAATCGCCGAGTACCGGATCATCCACGTGCCTGGGTGGTGCCCCAGGTGGAGGGCGTGGTGGAGAGCGTGTATGGGTGCATGCAGCTGCTGCTGGAGCTGTACGCTCGCGAGCATCAGGAGGACATTGGCTGCTGCGTGGAGCGGCCGCTCTTTGGGCTGCTGCTCAGGCAGGCGCTGGGCCTGCCGTGGGAGTCGCGGGGGAGGCCCGCCCTCCTCAGGGCCTTGCTGCCGCACGTCGGGGCACGCACGGTGAGTAGCTCGCACGGTGAGTAGCTCGCACGGTGAGTAGCTCGCACGGTGGCCAGCAGCGCCACTGCAATGTCGGATGTACGGTGGGTGATTTGAGAGGGCGAGACACGAAGCCACCTTATTTTGTACCGCCATGTCCCTGGCCAAAATCCCAAAGGGTTCGAGAGTTTCAGGAATTTCTTACGAGCCATCGACCCTCGCCACTCAAGCGCTGGATCGCAGGTTCTGCCACCGTGCCAAATATATTTTTTGAAACTTCAGCGAGGTTCATTCCAGTGGGTTTTAACGCACTTACGTGAGAAATGCGTGCACACAAGAATGCGATCTTCACGCCCGTAAGTATACACGTGGCCTGCGTTGTTGTAGCCCTGGCGGCATTGCGCCGTACATAACGGGCAACTAACTGGGTGGGGATTGTGTATATTTTTTGTTTCTTCTACGTGACTTGTTGCTGGCCGCAGATTTTGGAAGCGGACGCAGATCTTCCCCAGCAGATGTTGTCCTGCCTCTCCACTAACTACCTGGCTCCCTTGGCTGCCGAGCTCTACAAGGAGCTGCTGAAGAGTCAGAGGGACGCGTGGGAGAGCGATCTGTCGCTCGGTCCCTGCGCCACTCGGCCGGTCGAACTCCCAGAACGCAAGCAGCAAGCGGACACCTCAAAACCCCGCGGCCACCCTGGCCCGGACCGCTTCGCCGTCGGGGTTTCAACGAAGTCCGCACGGCCGGAGGGCTTGGGCGCCGCCAAGCAATCGGACGGGGGGAGGGGAGACGGGGGGAGGGGGGGAGACGGGGGGTCGTCACGCGGAGACGCTGGCCGTCGAGAGGCGCGCCAGGATATTCTAATGCCGGAGCTCCACGCCAAAGAGTCGAGGCTGGCAGAGATGTGGGCTGGACGGTGGCTCAAGATGCTGCACTCTGCCCTGACGTCGGGCGTCTCCTTGCTTCTGTACAACGTGTCCAGCTACCTCCTGCCGTGCACCCTCAAGGTTGGCTCTACCGGATATAACATTCACAGTGTCAATTACGACACACCATCGTAGGTTTTTATTATTATTATTACTATACTGGCACATGGGAGGAAAGCAGTTTAATTAACTCGCTACATTATTCTGGATGCAATCCTGGATTCCAGGCTGTGGTCTGGAGAGTGGGCGCCACGGTGGTGAGATGTTAACTCCCTCACCTGGTATGCAGGAGGTCGTGGGTTCGATCCCGACCATGATGCTTGCTGTATATTTGGAGTTTGCGTGTCTCTCTCCCCGTGGTCATGTGGATTTTTCTCCAGGTCCTCTAGTTTTTTCCCCTCTACATTTAGAATCAACTTCTATAAATGTCCACGTGATGATGATAAGCCACTTCGTTGAGCTATCAGGGCGCTTCTGAAAAAGAGCTATGGAGCTCAGTTGGCCTTACCTGGTAAAATAAAAAAATAGTTTAAATAGTTCAGTTGAGAATGAACTCTCGGTGGTGAGTCTTCACCGTCTGGCTTGGAGCCTCCTGAGCTGTCGACTCGGGTGGCTTGGAAAGGGAGAATCAAACTCCTCTTCAAGACCCGACCCAGCATCCCGTGGATACTCCTCCTCTGGTTTGAATAACTATGATGAACCTGAACAATAATAATAACCTACGTACGGTCCTTTGTCAGTCCCGCTGGATGATGGTCTCCAACATGCAATGTCAGTCGCAGGGTTTGTTTCAACATACTTCACCCCACTGCTCAGTGCAAATTGGTCAAGGAGAGCCACCCAGGCCCAATTCAGATCTCACTCGCCACTGATGTTAGCCACGGCCGGGAATCAAACTCTGGTCGTGGGTTTAGAGTGCAGTACACGAACCACCGTGTCCTATTGTCTTTATTTTAATTTGTATGGATTCAAGAGCAAGTTTTGGGAATGTACGTTTCTTAACGCAGTACAAAAACCCATTCCAAACAAACCCTAATTTCCCTACAATGTGCATTTGTATTTGATGTGCTCGTTGATGTGGACCAGGTTTTCCCAGAGACGTTTGCTTTGATGAACGACCACTTCAGTGGCCCCAATGATCTCCTGCCCTGGATAAATCTGGTAAGTCGGAGACACCTGTCATCACGAAACGAACTCAATTAATTCTCGGCTTTGCTTGATAAATATATGTTGTGGCTATTTCACGTGTGGCTAGCGGTAGTTGAATTTATCACGCTTTCTATTTTAACACAATCCACGGGGCCCAGAACGCCAGCGACACACAGTGCTGCTCGCAGGTACAATGGATGGGAGCGAATTGTCTCCTTCACCCGCGCGAGGTTCTGAGCACTCGAGGGGGGGGGGGGGGGGGCGATGCGAGGGTAATTGCCGTCGTCGTCTTTCCCCGAGCAGTGGGAGGGAAGAAGTAGAAAGAGAGGAGCGGTGACCTGTGGCGTGGACTCACCTGCGCACGTGACGAACCAACTGAGTGAGACTCCTTGCCGCCGCCCCCTTCAGGTGAGCGTCGCCAGGTCCGTGCTGAATCCCGGACCCGAGGGACGCTGGGCGGTGTCGACCCAGATCCGCCGGTGCCTGCGCCACCGGGACGAGGGCGTGCGCGCCGCGGCGCTGGCCTTCGTGTGCGGCGTGGGGCCGTGGCACCGGCACCCGGCGGGCCCCGCCGAGATGGCGCTCCTGCGCGAGTTCGTGCCGCTCAACCTGCCCGTCGGCTCGTCCGCCTTCCGCCAGCAGCTGCAGGGCGGCGTGCGGCGCGCGCTGAGCGACCTGCGCGACGCCGCGCTGGTGGCGCTGCGGCGGGAGAGGCGGCTTCGGGGCGCCGACGGCGCGCAAGCGACGAGCGTGCTGGCGCTCGCTCGCCGGGCGTCCTCGACCGCACCGTCGGTCAGTGCCATTTGCTCGCCATCGAGCGGTGATTGCATCGCGCTCGTCAGTACTGCGTTCCGAGCTTATGCTTACATTGACTGTAAATTTAAAGTCATTTTCTCCTTACTAGTGGGCAAGGTTAATGGTAAAACGTGGCGCAAAGGTAAGAGATTGAAACTGCGAAGGCGCAGGTAAGGGTTCAGAGGCGGGGGGGGGGGGGGGGTGCGGTGGTTCGCGTGTTGAGCTCCGAACCCGAAGCCTCGAGTTAGATTCCAGCTCACGGCCAATATCAGTGGCGGTTATCTGGAAGAGTCGGCTAAAATGCCCTCGAGCTGGACTCTCTAGAGCTCCCTCTAGTGGAGGCCCTTGCACCAGCAGTGGCTCGAGCAGGCACTTGCAGGGCTGCACCACAACGTCTGGACGCTATGTTTTCTCCTGGCCATCGAAGAGTGACTGTAGACAACCTGAGCCCAACGTCCACGCTACCGCTCTGTGTTGAAGGCGTGTTTAACGTTCACCGTTTGTCGTCGTCAGAATTTGTCGACTGGCTGCTGGACCTGTGCCTCAATTCCCTCTTCCCTGGCGCAAGCTTCCAGCGCAAGAAGATGTGTCTGCTGCTCCTGTCAACTCTCCTGGAGACCTTCTCGGTTGTACCGCAGCCCGAGAAGAAGAAAGGCAAACCCCCAGGTCAGGACGCCTGCTTTGCTTCGTGAATCGGCTGAGCGTCCATCGGGAGTAGCTGAGGTAGAGGCCCGTTGAGCCGCGTGACGCGTGGCCTCTTCTGGCGGGGCCACCTGGTCAGACAACTGACCACACTCGTCTATAACGCTGCACAATGGGCGGCGTTGAGGAGGTGACGCTTCTTGGCAGCACCATGAAGAAGGGCCATTGCCCAAAACGTTGGAAATTATATATTCTTTTCTTTTGAAGCCACAGTGTTATTGATGAATGTGTTTATAAGTAATATTTAAAAATATATATTTTTAAACACGCTTTAATGAAATGTACCCTACTGGTAATGGCAGAACTCCACGACTCCAGGCTTGCCATAACGTAAGGGACCGTGGTCATTTACAGCCAATGTCAGTTGAGCGTGGACAATTAGACCCAAGCCGAAACATGAATGTTTAAAAATACTTTATTTATTTTGATAGAATATTGTTTTGTCATCAGTATGACATAAGTATACCAAGTTTGCAGTGGATACCACATTGGGAAGTGGGTTAAAATTTAGTTGCAAGATTTGAGGATACGAAAACAACAACAGACAGAGTGAGTTCATAGAAAGCGTGTAATAATAAAAAGGAGAATTGCCCTTCGTCGTTGCGAATGCACCTATGGAAAGGAGTCGACAGGTACATGGCCGCATGCAACCGCTCCGCCAGCGTTGCGTCGGTCCGTGCGTTTGTTTTGGTGTCGGTGTCGAGGTTAAAGCCCTGCCGGCCTGCACGGCAGCGCCGCGTCTCCGCCGGGGAAGTGTTCTTAGAAGGGCTTTACGTGAAAACGTGGACTATAAAAGACGCTCTTTTTTCGTGTAACTCTTTATTTTTTAAGCATTTAACGTCTTAAAATATCAAGTTCCCAAGCTTCCCCGTGCAAATCCTCGCGTCTTGTTTGTTTGCCTTGGCAGAGGACGTTAAGGAGCTCGTGTCGTGGGCGCGTCACCGCGGGCGGTGGGACTTCTGCTCGCAGCGCAGCGTCTCGGTGCTCTGCGTGTGTCTGCGGGACGGCACCAACGAGGTAGCGGCGCAGCGCCACAGCTCGCAGCGGTGCCGCCCTTGCGACGTTCTCGCCGTTTGCCGTGACGTTGACAACCGTAGGCGCTCACGCACGCGGCAGCAATCGCCGCGTGTTCGTAGTCAAAATAAAGACAAGAGTGTGGTGATGGTGATTTGGATGGTGATTGGGATGGTGATTGTGATGGTGATGGTGATTGTGATGGTGATTGTGATGGTGATGGTGATTTTGATGGTGATTGTGTCGCCCTTTACCGTTCCGCTGCGGAATGGAGTCCTCCCCGTGCCGTTTTGGTCGTGGAGGTGATTGAACCATATTTCACCACGACGATGAATGTGGATTGTTTTTAGGGGGAAAGCGGCCTATGACCGGTTCAGGAATCGCTCGCCGCCGATGTTTGCCGTGGCTGGGAATTAAACGTAGGTTGCCTGGTTGATACCGGAGTGCGCTAACCACTCCACAAACCGCTCCGCCACTTGGTTCGTACTGTGACAGCGACGAACGGGTTTCGTTTGAGCAAAACGTACTAAAATAAACCAAAAAAAAAGGTAATTTTCCAACAAATGTCAGGGCCTGTTCGAGGATAACACGACCATCCTGGAGATGGAGCGGTGACAGAGGTGCCCCTGCTGGAGTGAGATGGATTGTTGTCGGAGATGGTGACGGCCAATGGGAGGCCTTCATCCAGCAGTGGCTAGAGAATGGTTTATGAGGACGATTGCCTTGCTACAAATAGTTGTCTGTATCGTCTCATTGATTCATCGTAAGTGCCACATTCCGGGGTGTGCTGAACACAGCGTGCCCTCGACATGCTGGGCACATGTACGTTTGAGGTTCCCTGGGTATATTCCTGTTCTTATCAAAGCCCCGTTGTTTGCATGAAGACCAATGTTAGCCCATCGACAGCTGCGATATGACTTCATAGTACATCAAAACACCCTGTTGCAGTGAAGTAACCAGAACCTGGTCTGGAACGCAAAACCCAATTCCACCGTAGTTACTGTACCGTATTATTGCGCTAACCCGGGACTACGTGGCGTGTGGAGATTCGGCCACGTACAAGTTAGCGTTTCTTTGCTCTTCAACTTTGATCTTCGGGCGTGTCATTTTGAACTTGTATATAAAAAAAATTGTGTTCGTCCGACAAGAAACCACGGTTACACCCGGGACCCGGTGTGTCTGCCCGTGGAGTTGCGAGGCAGCTCCGCTCCCTGGGTTCCTTCACTCGAGCCACAGTTTAAGCGAGCTTGGTGGGGGGGGGGGGGGCGTTAATTCAGCAGCGGCGACGACGGCGTTCGCTCGAACAGATGTGGACGAATATACTAGTTGTCGGAAAGATTAGAATCATATAATTTTCTCCAACGCATGTTTGAGCTCAAGTTCGGAAGAAAGTTGACATGGGACAAGGGAGCGGGTGGTTGGAAAGGTTCATATTAGAGAACCGTTCAATATATTAATATAAAATATATTATCCGTAATTGATTTGATTGATGTCGGCCTCTGCAGAGTATAGCATCTGAGTGCTTGAAGAAGACTAAAAGCTAACGTGTATTTTTGTTTTTAATATATATATATATTTTATTTAGTTTCTGCTTACAAATGTAATAGGTTTAGTTATTTTTTGTTATTCATGGGAAAATGTTCCGTTCCTGCAGTCCCGCACGCCACACGAACGCTGCCACAGCTCTCAGCTCGTAAACCCCTAGAGGGGCAGCCCTGCAGCAGCCCGCTCACGTCACTGCTGGCGGAGGCCCTCGAGAGAGGGTATTTGGCCTACTCTTCTCTTGCTCGCTGGCCAGATGTGTTGAAAGTGGCGGGAGGACCCACAGTTTATCCCGTCACACGAGACCTGGCGATCGACTAAATGTGGACAAAAAACTTTCGTGACTGCAGGAATTCATATTCTTCGGGTCTTTCGGTAAAGTCACGTAAACAACAAAAAAACAACCAAAGACTACGACTAAATGTGGTGAACCCGTTTATGCTGCTGGATGGACAGAGTCGGTGGGATTGAAGAAAGTAACAAAAATGTAAATACAAGTTTTAAATCCACCTTAAATAAAAAATATCCACCGGTATTGGAGATGTAAAGCAGAGGGATGATATCCTCTACAGGAGACCGAGCAAGCTGTACATCTTGGTTCCAAGCAATGAGTTAACCCCAAGCGGCACATGGCTTTCATGTGCACCAAATTTAATTAACAAGACGGTGTTAGTTCTGACTTTGACTGGACCCAGTCGTGAGGTTACAACATTGTCGTCATTTATCGACGAGAACGGACGGCCGACTCTGACCATAAAGGGAAGCTGAGAGACATTCATTGCACGGCAAAAGTTCTGGTGCATCGTAACAGTACGTGTGGTTAATAATGAGAAGGGCCTCTTCTGAGACATCTGTCCTGCTTGGAAGAGCAGGCCAAAGCCCTCGAGAGCAGCGAGCGGTCCCCAACCTTTTTGGCACCAGGGACCGGTTTCGTGGAAGACAATTTTTTCACGGACCGGGTGGGGGGTGGGGTTCATCATTGGGTCTTTCCCCCTTTTCAAAGAAGCTCTCCAGCGACGTTTGTTTTTTACTCATTTTGGCGGCTAGGGTTAGCTGGTGGGCTTACCAACACTGTGTGACTGAGACGAGTGAGCAGTGCGGGAAGTGGTGAATAATCAAACAAGGGGGCGGGGGGCCACGCGCGGACTCACCGCTCTCACCTCCTGCTGCTGTGCGGCCCGGTTCCTAACAGGCCACGGACCGGTCGCGGTCCGTGGCCCGGGGGTTAGGGACCCCCCTGCTCTAGAGGATCCCCCCTAGAGCTCCCTCTAGCGGGGAGGCACTGACGCCAGCAGTCGGTGCGAGCAAAAAGATCGCAGTGCCGCATCAACGATTATTTATTTATTTTACGTGCCAGTATTGTTCTCAATCAAGTGGGCACCGCTGAGCGCATTGCAGCGGAGTGGGAACGGTACCCAGGGGCACGGAACACCGGGAATGACAAAAGAAACCCGTCACAACCCTCGGCGACTAATTGTGATGAATTGCATCCCACCCCTCGCTCCTGGTCTCTCTGTGCTGGCCGTGTGGCTGCGTGGAGGTGCGTGAGCTCGCAGCTGAGTTGCTCCAGGGCTTCTTCCCGGCGGAGGCGTTGCTGCCGTGGCGCGACGTCCTCTCGTCCCAAGCCGCCGCTCTCCTACGCAGCCCCAAGGCCCCGGAGGCCGAGGCCGGGGCCCTGCTGCTCAAGCTCGTCTACCACAAGTGAGCCTCGTGACGGGCGCGCCCGGCCATCGTGGCCCGGCCGGCGTTTCGTGCGCCCCGGGTATCCGCGCGACTCTGACCGCCGCGAGGCTCGTCGCGAAGGTGCCGCGTGGACGATCGCGCTCGTCCGCAGCAGGGGGCGATGTGGCCACGTGACTTTTGGCGATTTGCGAGTTTTTTTGTTTTTAATGCGACAACATTATTTTACCGTGATGCCCCGGCACACGCGATGGCCTCTTCCTCCTGTCGAATGGCATCACGGGATTCTTGACGTCCACTGCAGAGAAGACGATGCAAACTATTTGGTTAGTACACCAATAACATTGACCGGGGTGGCCGCTGGGGTCCAACCGCAAACCTCCGCAACGCGTGGTAAATGCGCTCCCGCTCGGCCGTATCACGTGGCCTTTGTCTCTGCATACACGTCTAGTTCAAAGTCTTTAGAATCAGAATCTTGTGTCTGTTCGTTATTGTCTGGTCATGCATTTACCTGTCTCCCTGTCTTTCTCTGCTCTGTCTCTGTGCTGCTGGCTCTCCGTCCATCGGCACACGAGTGTCTACGAGAGCGGTCTGTCTGCTACGCTTCAATTGGGTTGTCTATCTGATGTCGCTATTTTGGGTCCTGTCTGTTTAACTTTTCCCTCCTGTGTTGTCACTGTGCGTGATACGTGACCGAGTTAGACGGAAGACAGACAGATGAGGTGAGAGCCCAGTGCGTGTGCAAGTTCCTCTTGCAAGGGACACCCCGGGTCTACGTTTATCGATCTCCCACAGAGCACGCTAATTATATTTGTTCCTCTGTACCGCAGAAGGCTCAGCAACTCGAAGGCCTAAAAAAAGTAACCTTGGTCTCAAATGAAAACTGAGCAGTATTTATTGGGAACATGAAATTTAATAAACGTGTGGCCTTGAGATGGAAACATAAATAACGAATAAATGTGGGCCAGAATCTCGAGCTGGCACCACTGAGAGGCCTGGGTTTGAATCTGGGCAGCCGCCTCGAGTTAAACTGCGCTCTCCAGCCTAGTGGAATGATGGGCTAAGCTTCAGTTACCGATTACTGAACAATAACACTCATCCATATTACATTCCATCTGAGATTTTTTTTATGGCTTTTTGCATGTTATGCAGCAATCATTTCTCTCTGCAGCAGGCTGGGTGGGAAAGCGCTGCCCTTTCAGAGGATAAGAGGCCACTTGAGAATTCAGAAACAGTTCTGTGATATCTCCTTCTGTGGACCGTTCTCTGCTCTGCGAGAATTCCCCGGGGCTCTGTGTCTCATGCCATGACGTCGACGGTACGCTCCAGAGAACATTGGGGAAATAACTACAAACGTTTTTGTTTGCCTTTGTAGTTTTTTTTGGTGAAAACTTAACTTGAACGGGCCTATTCATATCTCGGGGCTGCATAAAGGGCAGTGTTGTCACAGCGCGTAACTAATTATTTAATGGAAACAAGGTGCGAGATTTGTCCAAAATTAAGTTTAAATTGGCGCAAATAGTCACGGAGCGTACGCTGCCATTACATTGGAGAGGCGGCGGAAAGGTTACGAGCGGAAGTGGTGTGAAAGACGCGTTCCTGATGGGCCAAATTGTTACCAAACTATTGCCAACAACGAGTTGCCTCATTAGCACCGTGGCCAGAGCTGAGACGCTCCACGTCCAGGAAGCAGCTACGGTCGTTGAGACCAAGAAATAGTCGGGACCGCTCCAGGTACCGCTCGCAACTACAATGTCAGCCATTGCCTGGGATCCATCTCAGCTTGCCATTTTACATAGCACATGTACACGTATTATGCGGCATAACTAAATAGCAGCATTGGTAAATAAGTGTCGTCGTCTTAATAATTTTACGCAAAGTTCAGCGTCGCGGCTGTTTGGATGCCTTTGCTGTTCTGTTGCGTTGCAGAACTGGTAGAAATGTTTTACCAGTTCTAAAGCTTTGCCTTTGCCTTGATTTGTTTCTCATTAATTGTTTTATAATTTAAAGGGTAGCATTGCCACCTCTTTACATGACACGTGCAAACGTAAGCCCCACTGCGGGGGGTGCAGCCCTTCACAGCAGCTGCAGAGTCCGCGCCGTGGCGACCTCCTAGGGTTTATTTCGGTTCCCGAAGGAGCTCTCTGCGTGCGGAGCGAAACGTCGGACATGGTGCCGATCGACGTGCGGCGCAACCGGACAACACATCTGAGCGCTGTCTTCATAGCGAGTTTGAAAGCTCGGGGGGCACTTGGAATAAAACTCCGCACTTCATTCGCCTCCGTCTCAGGGGGCGCTTTCAATCTGGCGCAAGGCTTACGCACAATCCCACCCTGTCCGTAAGCTGCTCGCTCTTTATGTGCTGGATTAGGCTCTGCATCTGTCCTCAGCTGGCCGCCTGAATAGGACAATGGTGTTAACTTCAGCCGATCGAAAGGCAGCAGCCACATAATCCTGTTATAATCTGGCTTCTCCCCTGTGATGGGGCTAATGGTCAACCATTAGCCTCCCGCGGATAATCCCTGACTCTGCCCTCACCTGTCGGAGCGAGGTCCGGGGCGAGAGAGCCGCAGAGCGGAGACGCGCGGGGGAATCGTCGAGCTTCGTTCCGCACGTCGTGGGACGTTGTGGGGGGAGGGGGAGGTGGGGGGGGCTGCCGGCACGCGAGGCTCCCGCAGCTGCGGGTGGCCCGTGAGGTGTCGGCGACACTTCGCCTGCCGTCCACGGCGCAGCGGGCTGCGTGCGTGGCCGTGCGTGTCGGCAGGAGCCGTCGTGCGGCGGTCAGCGCGCCGCGCTACGAACCCGGCAAAGACCCGAGTTGGATTCCTGCTCACGGCCGACACCGGTGATGATTACCTGAACCGGTCCTGGGCCTCCCATAGGTCAATTCAGCCTCAAATGAGTGCCCGGCGCGTAAACGTCGCCACTTGGGAGACAAAGGCGACCCGGGCGTGGTGCTGGCCACCCACCCCCTCGTGTGTCGTGTCGGCCTTCGTAGGTGCTCGTTAACAGCACTTGCCCCAACAGTCTGTTCAGGCTACGGGGGGGGGGGGGGGGGTGGTCTTTGTCGTGGAGGCTGCGTTAGTTTATGCGTAGCAGAGCTTAGCTCGTCAACAGAGGAAGAGCTGGGCAAGGGGAGAGTATCCACGAAGGCTGTTAATGATGTTTGTAAAAAAAAAACACTCCAGATCCATTAATGACTGTGAATACACTGAGTGATTAATGTGCTTTTTGACTTTAAGCTGGTGTTAGGGTTTTGCAGCTTTACTTTTTCAATTAAATTTTAAATCCTTTTTTTGAAGGATTACTGATGTGTCATTTGGGTTTCAAATAGTATTTTTATGCATATAAATTAATAAAATAGCAACCGTTCTTGTTATTATTTCCAGTACTTTATCCATCCACTGCTGGATCAAGGCCTCCTCAGACCATATACGTCATGGGGCCTGTTTGACCATACTTCGCCATGCTAGTCACTGCGGGTTGGGATGATGCCTGAGCCCAGGACTAGTCGCCACTGATGTTACTCATGGCCAGGAATCAAACTGAGGTCGCCCAGGTTCACAAGCGCAGTGTTCCGGCCACTGCACCATTGCTATTCCCGTCACCGTATTCTCTGGATTCGAAGGCATCCAGGAAGGAAAGGGGCAACCCCAAAGAAATCGTGCTGAGCGCTGAGAAAGTTACACAACTCTGGTCACGCGCACACGCACGCACACGCCGGATTATACAACGCACCCCCAACTTTTGCTCTAAAGTACAGGGAAATAAGTGCGTCTTATAATCCGGAGAAAACGATAGTCGGGAAAAAGAGTGGTCATTAGAGGGATTACACCGGGTTTTGGCCATTTTTGTGAGTTGGTGCTAGTAAGTGTTGAGCTGGCCATCACTTTTACTAACGTTTCATTATAATTAAAGGAAGCATATTTATTTCAAACGGTTACAAATGGGATCAATTGTAGAGAAGAAAAAACAAAAAAACACAATGCAGAAAGTACGCACTGCCATCTTGGTCAATGAGTGGAGCCCGGTTACATTGACCAGATGGACTGTGAGCTGATTTATTAAACGGCTTAAAATAAAAAATAAAATAGAAACCCTCGAGCACAAACACCAGCAGGCTACCGGTCCCTGGCGACGCAGTCGGCGTGAGCATTGCTCAGCACTCGCAGGGCCCAGCACACGTCCAGTAAACAAATTGGCTGCAGGGCCGCGGTGAATGCGGCCGTGTGTTCAAGCGCGCTCATTAATATTCGCTGCAAGAAGCACGGAAATTGGCTTAAAACAAGCGGCCCCTTGGATAGCGGCTTAAAATAAGCCAGGGCAAATAACTGGGGGTGCTTTGGAAATAAATTCATTCACATTCTTTACTTTAAAATGTGATATTTTTTTTTTTTGCCAAACATATGGGGTGAGTGAATATGGCTGTTCCCTCATCCCTTTTGTTTTTATGGTGTTGGAAGTTACGTAATAACAATTACACGGTGAAACATGTGCGAGCGTACCAGAGCCTTGTATGGCCTTCCGTTTTAAGGTTGTGTTTGCGCTCGAATGTAGACAAGCACCATTATAGCTGTGGCACAACGCCACGGGGAGGCGAGTCAAGGATGCAATTGGAAAGGGGAAGAGTAATGGGAGAGGGAAGAGAGAAGAAGAATGAGAAATAGGAGCAAGAGGATGGAGGAGGGACGGAGGGACGGGAGCAATGCGGCAGGTAAGTTGAGGATAGTGAGGATGAGGCTACATCAGGGCCTCGGCGCTACTGCGTTTGTTCTCACAGTGACGTGTCCTCCCCAAGCCCTCTAACTCTGACCAATGGTAAACACGTGCACCTGAGATGCATCGTATAGACTGTTGAGTCACTACAGATCGTTGAGTCACAACGAGCGATATGATATTGTGAGAGATGGGTGGGGGTCTTGAGGAGGCCTTCATCAAGCAGTGGGGTGACAATGGCTGATGATAATGATGATGATGATGATGTTGATGTTGATAATGCTGATGATAATGATGTTGATGATGACAATGATAATGTTGATGATGATGATAATGCTGATGATGTTGATGATGACGATGATAATGTTGATGATGTTGATGACGATAATGTTGATGATGTTGATGATGATGATAATGTTGATGATGATGTTAATGACGATGATAATGCTGATGATGTTGATGATGACGATGATAATGTTGATGATGACGATGATAATGTTGATGATGCTGTTGATGACGATGATAATGTTGATAATGACGATGATAATCTTGATGATGACGATGATAATGTTGATGATGACGATGATAATGTTGATGATGCTGTTGATGACGATGATAATGTTGATGATGACGATGATAATGTTGATGACGATGATAATGATGTTGTTGATGACGATGATACTACAGTGGCCGCGTGCTGGGCCCCCCACCATTGTCGTTGCATCGCCGCAGGCTCGTGGTGAACTCGGCGACGTCGCGAGCCCAAGGGGCCGACTCCTGCCAGGACGCTGCGGCGGAGTTCGTGTCGGAGGTCGTGGCGACGCTGCAGACGCAGTTCGAGTGCGCCCAGACGAGCATCCTCGAAGCCTCCATGACCATGCCCATGCACGGTGGGTAGTGCACGAGGTGGCACCGTTGACGTCAAGCTCCGCTCATCCTCACGGCAGCAGCTGTTGGCTGGCCTTCGAACAAAGACGGTCACCGCATCGCGCGCTTTCAGATGCACTTCTGCGGCCGTCTGGAAAGCTCTTCCTTCCGAGATTAGGAAGCCACTGGAGTTACGCCCTTTTACATATAGATTGTAGACGCATTCCTTTAAAACTACTTTTCGTGTTTAGCTTGTTGTCCTTCCCCCGCACCTCCGATTAGCGGTGCGACATAAGTTAAACATACACACATACACATACAAGCGGTAGAGGTGCAGCCCCGAAATGGCCTGCTCACGCCACTGCTGATGAAAGGGCCTCGGCTGCAGTGAGCCCTGGAGTGAGATGTGGTAATGTACTTGTAGAACCGGGTGTTTTGGCCTACTCCAGCATGCTGGGACGATGTTTTGGAAGAGGTGGGAGTTCCCACACTTGACTCCACCGCACGCGACCGACCGACCGACTCACTGCGAGCATAAACATTTTCACGTTTTGTCTACAAATTTCATGAAAGTGGCATTCGTGAGTGGAAGCGTTTTTTGACTAATGTTGGGATAAGTGTGGTTCCTGACTGGATGTCAGAGACCGTAACATCACCACGCTGGCAGATGTTGCTCTTCTTCTCTAAGACGTCATCGTTATCATCATTGTCGTCACTGTCAGGACTCTGTTACACAGTTCCCATGTTTACTCATAAAGTGTATACAGAAATACACTCAACCTTATAAGGCTGTATGAGCCACTTAAAAATATACGAGCACCGATGGGCTTCTAAGATGTTCCAGATTTTCCCAATTTTACGCTGCTTAAATAGATTTGTTCACAAAAAATTGAAATGAAAATAATTTGCAGTCCTTTGTCACTGTTGTGTGAAGGCTCCGTGCAGCATGTTGGTCCAAGGGGCTTGTTTGACCATACTTCACCACGCTTGTCAGCACAGGCCGGTGTGCGGGGTGGGAGGGGACCACGACCAGTTCGTATATAATCGCTCACCACCGACGCAGTGTGGAATATTGTAGTAGCAAAACTAGCTACATATGTTGCTACGGGCCCTGCACTGAATGCTTTCAAGCTATCAATTCTAGTTCAGTGTTTCTACACTTGCTCTATTACTATAGTACTATACCGCCTTCAACTTTTATGAACGACTGGGTGTTTAAGGTTAGTGATTTGTCATATTATCCGGCAATACAATTACTTTACTATGCAAGTTAAACATTTGAGTTTTTTAATATTTAGAGCCCCTTTATAACGGATGCTACAGGCCCCGCACTAACTTAACCCGGCACTGCACCGACGTTAGCCCGTGGTCGGGAATCGAACTTGGCTACGAGGTCCGCAGTGCAGCACTGACGCTTGGTGACGGATTCCGTCGCTCCGCATGGCAGTGGCTCGCCGGCGAGGCGGCCGCCCGCTCGTTGGCACTGGCGGCGCTCGACCTCCGCCCAGAGCGCCAACCAGCCGTGTAAAACGTAAACTTTTTTTCACCGAGCGCGCAATAATGTTTGAGCGTAAGCAAATGTGAAGAAGAAAAAAAGCCGTGGCTATTTTCTTGACTTGGAATATATATTTTTGGGGTAGTAAATTCACGTAACCCTTTTTTGTTTTCCATAAGCATGGCATTCAGGTGCTTTCACAAGTGCACAGCGAGCCCACTTCCACACTCGTTAGGACAAAATGAAACATGTGAGTGTGAGCTGTCAGAAATGTACCCGACAGGCATTTCAGCGGCACTGACGATCCGCAATGTCACCGAGTGAAGGCAAAGTCGACATTTGGCCGCCCGCCGGGCGAACGGGCTAGGCTGTGTAGGCCGGGATTCGTAACCGATTTTTCTGCCAAAAAACCCTTTAGCTTGGTGTGAGAAAACTTGGCGGTGTCGTGCATGTACACGAATGTATTAAGTTCTACCACGATTGATTTTTGTGGTTAAAAACATCTAAGTGTGAAAAATTACAATATTTCCCCCCCCCCCCCCACGTTTTCCTTTCAAGTGAACAGAATGGGCCTCATTGTGCCTGCCAAACGTGCCGGTTATTCCGGATGGGTTGCGCTAGTCTCCTGCTCAAAGAATTTTGTATTCAATTATTTACAAGTCATAAACCATTATAAATTTGCTGTGCCCCTTGTATGGTTACTGTGGCTAAAAGCAGCAATAGCGGCAGAGTGGCCCTGATTTCCACAGCGTTCCTTACGATCCCAGAGTAGACCATCAGGTGGTGGGGGGTGGGGGGGGGGTCCTCTGGAGGAAATGTGCTGCTCGTGGTTACAGCCCCACGCGAGAGCCGCCCCTGCCTTTGGGCAAAATTATCTGGAATGCGATACTGGCGATTAGGCCTAATTACCTGGCATTTTGGACCCTCCTGCTGTAATTGTGCATTAATTGGATCCACGGATTGGGCCCCTCCTCTTCCTTTTCCTGTCGGCACTGGCACGAGGCCTCCCAGCTGGCGACCCGTCATAGCCCCTCCGCGGAGTGGGTGTCGGGAGCCGTTACGTACGGGGGTGTGTGACGCCAGGGCGTGTGACGTGAGGGTGTGACGTGAGGGTGTGTGACGTGAGGGTGTGACGTGAGGGTGTGTGACGTGAGGGTGTGACGTGAGGGTGTGTGACGCCAGGGCGTGTGACGTGAGGTGTGTGACGTGAGGGTGTGACGTGAGGGTGTGTGACGCCAGGGCGTGTGACGTGAGGTGTGTGACGTGAGGGTGTGACGTGAGGGTGTGTGACGTGACGCTGACGTAAGGGTGTGACGCAAGGCGTGTGACGAGGGAGGCGCCACTACCATCGCATCAAGGGTTTGCCATCCAAATGCGGTCGCGATGAACGTCGGATGTTTATCTGCAGTTGGGGGACGTAATTGATGCCGGGGGGTTGTTTTTGTTTTTAGCGCAGAAGAGATGTCGTAGAAAACGGCAAAGGAAAGAGAAAACCACAAAACATATCCAGTTAAAAGGCTCCCTTAAGTTTAGTAATTTCACTAAACTACCCGCAAAGACAGAATTGTGTTGAACAAAGTGGTTTCCATGGATATATTAACTCACGGCTGAGGCTGAGAGTATATTGGTATAAAAATAACGTTGCCAATTTTTAAGTCAGCGTAGGCTTTGGTGAAATGTTTTTCATATTATGTTTCTCATGGTCACGGCATGAAATCGTCTCTAATGTCCAACTAAATGTGCTGCCGAAGACCTTTAAAGTTTATTTTGAACCCCGGGGGTAGGTTGACGGTACAGTGGATTGCGCACTGCGCCATGAACCCGGTGTCATGAGTTCAATTCCCTTACCGCATCTAACGTGAGTGGAAAATTACATCTTATATCTATATTTTCCCACCGGTGACCAGTGTGGTGAAGTATGGTTGAACAGCCCCCATGACTGACACGGCATGGGGTAGGCTTTAATCCAGCAGTGGATCTTGACAAAGGGTTGTACACTTTTTACATGTATCTTGCAAACAATAAAAACCAGTCCCGTCGTGGTGTCAAGGTTATGCACAAGTGATTGCTGCCGATCCTAGGCCCGAACTGGGCCATTCCTGGGCCAGCAGAGCCTTGCTCCCCGGTGCCCATGGGAATGACGAGTAAGGCAACCGATGTCGCTCTGACAGGACCAGGAGAATCGTCCCAAGTTCTTCTCTCGAATTGACTTTGGAGTCGACCTGCCGACCGGAAAACTCTTGTGGCACCCGCTCGTGTCGCTGGATGGACCGAGGCGGGGGAGGGGGGTGTACTTAATGAAACGCTCCCCATTGTTTCAACTGCCGCGCCGGGGGATCGAACCGGCCGACCTATTGATTTGCCGTGGCGAGTGCCCGGAGCGTCATTGCATCGCGGCAGCGGCGCTCTATGGGCGAGGACGTTAGAGCAAATGAGCGGTGCGGGATTCGCGAATAGCAACCAGGAGAGCCGTTTCGCAACCTCTACTGCCGGTGGACTTTCATCGCCAATCGAGCGGTGGCTGTGTGGAGTTGATGTTGAAATTTTGTCTGCTTCCAGTGCAGGGCAGAAAAAATTGCAATCATCCAAAATATTGGTATTGGGCTTCCCAAAATTCGTTTTGGCCATTTGCTCACGTACTATGTTGCCGGCACCCTGGAACGTTGCGGGCCAAATTTGTCTTCACGTTGTGACGCTTTAGAGAAAATCTCGCTTTTCGTTGGAAATCTTGGTCCGCATCACAGAGCAGCCGTTCTCTCACCGTGTTGTTTTTCTAGGCGTGTAACAGCTGCGTTTCCAGTGTTCGGTGGCTGATTTTGGCTGGAGTCGTGGCAATAACTGAAAATATCAGTGCCTTGATGTAGCTGTGTTCGCTCATTGTGGAAAAAAGCAATGTAATTGCAGGCTGTTTACCATCTTGAGACGCGTTGAAATGTGATGTGATTAGTTTCTTAGCGCACATCAAGAAGGCAAGACAAACGCCTTTACGTGGCACCATGAGGTTCATGTTTTCCTTCCATTTAGGAAACACGTTTTCTTTGTTGTTCTGCATTTGTGAAACGTTCTGCCTTTGTAAATCCAAAACGTTCGTGACAAGAATGGCACAAAATAAAAGCACTGATGAAAACCACATTGTAATAAGTAATGTTTTGGAATGTCGGAGCCCGTAATGAATAAATGCGGTATACGGGAAGGCTTCAGACTCGGGCCCTGTGCGTTGAGACCTACGTGTTTAAACTTCACAAAGCCACGTTATTATTTCCATAATAGAGGGGTTGTTTTGGGTTAGGTCGCGTAAATATATAAATGTGTCGTTAAACCCGCCACCACCCGACAGCCAACGAGTAAGGGATGTCACGTAAACAAAACATGCCAATTCGTCACTAGTACAGCACTAACCGGTGTGTTGGAGAGCCAAGCCACAACATTTACAATCTGAGTACGACGTTTCCCCAGTAATTACAACTAGCATCATCAGGCAGACAGCCAGATTTGTGTAGAAATCCTCCTGTTTCGTTCCTTAAATAGAGGGGTGGATGTGATGACGTCACTTGTGAGCCCTTCACGTGCGAAGGGGGGGGGATTATTGAATGCATATCAATGACAACGGGTATCCATTGCCGGTTGGGTTATTTGTATGGTGACTGACAAACATTATGCATGCACATTGTTAACGACTCATATTACTCGATCTAACGCAAAACAACTATATTTGGATGATATTGGTCGTGACAGCCTATGTGTTAAACACTGTTATTATTTGTCTCATACTTATTTGTACGATGCCTTTCTTTTGTATTTTGTAACATGCATAACTCAAGAGTGGTGAAACGGATTATTGGGAGCAAGGGTGTAGTGGTTATTAGCAATACTGCGCTCTAAACCTAGTAACCTGAGTTTGATTCCAGAGGACAGCTCCTCTTCTCCCCCGCCCAATCAATTACATCAACCCGCATTGACCAGCGTGGTGAAGTATGGTCAAACAACACTCATGGCTATCACGATATGGGGAAGCTTTCATTCAGCTGCAGTGAATTGATAAGGAGATTCAAATTAATAATTGTTATTATTTTAAAAAGAGGCATATTTTAAAAAGAGGCATATTACTAAACTTCAAATCTAGAATTTCCGAGGATATTTTACACATTACGATCTATTTCATAAATATACATGGGAGATCAAAAAAACAATACATATTATTCTTAAAAATAAATTTGGTTAATTATTAGTAATATCACGTGATTAATTTATTAGTTTTCATTTTAATTTATTTTATTTTTTACCTACGTGACTTTACCGAAAAAACCAAAGAGTATGAATCCTCGGCAAACCAGGAATAATAAAAAATATTCAATTGTTGCTGCAGAATTCTTTTGTGTTTAATGTTGTACCCTGTACTTTGATGCTTAATGTTGTACCCTGTACTTTTCTGTGGGCTTAGGACACAAGGCCATTTTATAAAACATTGCATTTTACATATGTTATCAGCTGAAGATTGATAACATGTGTAAGATGTTTTATTGACGGTGTTATTTGTGAGTTTCAGTGTCTGTGGTGAATCATACATCGCAAAGACTAATGTTGAAATGATTCCCGTGGGGGGGCGGGGAACTTAATGATCTGACCACTAATTGATTATCTGGGCAAATTTTTGTTGTGAGCCCTCCACCACCGGACATAGCCAGACAATTCAGAGTGTCGCTTGTGCAACAATTGAACGTGGCAGTTGTTATTGTCTCAGCCTGAAGAACAATTCTCACAACCAACTTCAGCATTTAGAAATGAGGTTTCGCTTGAAACTGCATCGGGCAGCTTCAGGTCAGAGAGCAAGCGGTCAGAATAACCGTTGTCTCCCGTGTGTCACGACACCGCAGGAGCCGTAGAACTGGACATCCATCTCAACGACGGCCCGACTCTTCTGTCTTGCAGGAGCGATCATGGCGCTGCGTCGGTGTCTCACCGAGATCCCGGAGTCTCTCGTGCTTTTTGGAAGCTCCCAGAATTCCGCGGCGCAGCGCGGCCTCATCCCCAGACTGGTCGCCATGGCCGCCGCCATCTCGCGCTTCATCCTGCGAGTGCTGTACGGGGCACCGCACGGGGGCAGCACCGACCTCGGCACCGGTGAGGAGCTGTGGCGGGGTCGTCCCGCTCCGCTCTGCGGTTCCCTCGGAAGTTACCCCGATAACTGAGTTACCCCGATAACCGGGTTACCCCGATAACCGAGTTACACCGGTAACAAGTTTATACCGATAACTGATTTGCACCGATACCAATTTACGATAACCGCATTAAATTGATAACCGATTTACACTGAAATCTGATTTACACCGATAATATAATCGATTTCTACCGATTATGAATTTAAACTGATAACCGGTTACCGGTGTAAATTGTTTATGCCGATAACTGATTTACGCCGATAACTGATTCGTCTTCTCTGCGGTGCGTCTCAAGCGTGCGTCTCCCGATGCTGCCCTTTGAGCGCTGCGGAGCATCCGGTTCCAGCTTCTCCGCCAATGTCCACGTTTGGGATCCGCGTCACAGCGGGGACTGTTCAGCGATGCATCACACACGTCCGTCTCTCGCTTTTCATTGTCGATTTCAATTTTCCCAAAAGCCTCTTGAGTTCGTCATTTTGATCCCGACCCACCTTCTGATTGTGTCATTCAGTTGTACGTAAGTTTAGTTTTTGTCCTATGTGTCTCGAGTCCAACTTTGCAGCCTTCTCTTTATTCGAGAAACAAAGGGGGGACACATGGATTAGAGAACATAGCGCAGGTTCGTAGAAAGTGGGCTTGGACAAGTGACATCGCCAGAAGGGATGATGGCCGGAATAACTGCTGCTGAACTATTTGAACCTGAACCGAGACTTTCCCAGGATCGTCCCCCCTTCACAACGCACATTGACCAGTCTGGCGAAGTATGGTTAAACAACGCCCATGACCGACACGGCATGGGGGGGCCTTTATCCAGTACACGGATACTATTAATGTGCGCTTTCACACACACACAAAACACAACAAAGACACACAGATATTAATGCCAATACCGTGCACAAGGAGGTGATGTGGCCAACATTACGCCCAGCCATCTTTGTCTCTCCAGAGTTGGATGTTTCCACCGCTCACCCACGCGCTCATTTCATGGCTGATTTGATCGCCTTTGGTGTGAGCCATGGCCAGGAATTCAACTTGAGGCTTCGTGGTCGTGAGCACATCCACGGTGCCGAGGAGAAGCGGGATGACGCCTCGGAGACTGCAAAGGCATTCGGTGGAACGTTTTGTCCGCAGCAGCAGCAGCAGCTTGTGTGTCTGCTTTAGAACACTGCCTCATGTTTCCAATAAACGTAGCCCCCTGCATTCCTCACCTCTTGAGCAATAATCGGAATTGATGTTAGAAAGCACTACCCCAACAGCAGTGTAATATATATATGGAAATGGCATTTTTATTTGCAACAACACGTCAAGGATGTTATAAATAGGAGTGCTAAATCATTGCGTTGGTTCCGCTGTGGTGACGACTGAACGGGTTCACGGAGAGCGGTGCAACACTGGCCACCTCCTCGCAACGGCGATCTCAGCTTTCAGCGTGACGGTTGTTGTTGTTGTTGTCGACCATCTTCTTCTAAAACAAATATTGTGGGCGGAGACCGCGACGGTTGTGTCAAAGTACGTCTTGACAGTTGTTGTCGTCGTGTCGCGTGAACGTCGCTCGTACTCGGGCCTCTCACCGTGAGGTTCCGCGTCCGCCGTGTAAGTCACTCGGCGATGGTACAGCGCGGTTAAGTCACTCGGCGATGGTACAGCGAGGTTAAGTCAGTCGAGGCAGGTCGTGTGTGGCAGGGTAAAGTGTGGGTACTTTCACCACGGGCGGTCAGCGTGGAAGAGTAGACCAAATACCCTCTAGAGCTCCCTTCTAGTGGAGCACGGCCTTATGTTTTGTTAAATCTTAAATGCGGCATGATTTTCGGTCTGAAATCACTGCACAAAGGATACGTATCACATAGCGGTTGTTTAAAAGACTCGTGTTGTACGAGAGTGGACACTGCTTGTCTTCTGCACAGGTAGAGAAACATTTGTTGATGGTTGTGAAGGCCACTGGACAATATTGCCATTTGATGTTCCAACCAGATATTTTTGTTGCCTTCGGCCGGGTGGAGCAGGAGTCACTTCCCACTGTCTCTTGCCAATCAGAGCACAATTGCGGTGCAATTCGGATGTCAACCGATTCGCATATATTTTTGAGCATTTAAAATTAAAAGTAAAAGCACGCTGAGACCTCGTAAGAACGTCGGTCGTTGAAGCACATGTTACCGTTCAAACAAGTCCTCGTTGTTTTTTCCACGTTGTGTATGACATTGAACCTGCCGAAGAAAGCAAAAAACAAACAAAGCGGTGTGGAATTCTCACGAGGAGGTCGCGCAAGGTAACGGCTTACGGGTTAAAGCCACACATCCCGTGTCACCCTTTGTAACCGGAGCACTTTCAATCGTGGTATTTGTGTAAATGCAAGTAGGGTGGCTGAGCTCGACAATACCCACGACAACAACGGCCTAAGACGTGTTATCCATTTACTTTAATAAATAACACGCTTGGAACCACGGCAGAGCGATCGCATGTGGACAGCATCAATCACGCAGCACGGTGGCCTTCCCGCAGTTGATGTCATCGGTGAAGGTTTTTCTTTAACAGTTTTTTTCTTTGCTTATCTCTACGCGCCCTCGCCCACGCAGCAGTGTCCATGAGGTCACCACACAGTCAGCCGATTAGTAAGTTGCGTGTGACGAGGTAAAGTGTGGGTGCCCTCGCCTCTTACAGGATGTCCGGCCTGCATGGAAGAGTAGGCCAAAGTCCCCCCTCGGGGAGGAGTTGTCTCGAGAGCTCTCTCTCTGGGCTGGATTATGGTATTTGAGTTGAAATGCACAGCGCAGATTTGATTCATACAGCGGCGTCTAAATGCGACCACATCTCAAGGTTCTCTGCAGGAACGGTGGTCAAAAAATCTGTGCCCGCATTTCTAAGAAGTACAAATCATGTGAGAACACTAATCTTATTACGAGCGAGAAGCGGCCTATGGGTTCCGTTTCATGTGAAATGCGCAACAGATGCGCAACAAGAAACATTTGTGGGTAAATTTTTAAATTGGTTGCTTCTTTGTACTAAGCAGCAGATTCCAAAGCTGTGAGGCACTATCTTCTCTGTGCACATTCAATGCGACATGCATTAACCTGGAAAAAGAATACGTATACATCTCTACGTATATGTATGTCACCATATTCCGTTATACTGTGCTTGAAGAGAACGAATAGGACCGTTTAGCCGTGGCGTTCCACGGGGAGGGGAGTGGGGCAGCAGGAGCGGGAAAGGACAGGGAAGCCGGGATGGAGGTCCCCAAGTGGACGGACGGGGAGGCCGCTGCTCGCGACGCGCGGGGGCCCCCCACATGCCTGCGTGATGCCATTCCACTGGGCTTGACTTGTCTGAAAAGTCCAACGTTTCCTGCAAAATATTACAGAGCCGTGGCGCGTCACGGCTACAGCGTGGAAAAGGACCCCTCAGACAGCGCTGTGGCCGTGTGCGTGGCGCGTGTAGCTCGCTCATCCGCTGCCCACGCTTGATTCGTGGCCACGCACGGTGCCATCGGGAAGTGGTGTTTGAACGTCGGTCTACCACCCGGCCTCTAGTGAATACCTGCTACAGTGAATACCTGGTACAGTGAATACCTGGTATAGTGAATTTAGGAACTGGTTCTGGGCCACCACTATGTTCACTCGGCTTCAATTAGTACCTGGCGTGTAAATGTCAGCACTTGGGAGACAACCGGGCGTGGCGCTGACCACGAGTGCCGTACCGGCCTTTATAGGTGCTCGCTAACAGCACTACTTTTCCCAATAGTTTGTTTGGCTTATTTGAGACCATCTTGTTTATATATTCCACTGTTGCAGCCAGAGGCGAATGTGGTGCCGGATCCCATCGGTTCTGGTGCAATCAGGTGCGCAGGATGAAACTCGGTTGAACATAATTCTCCCTGTCACAAGAGAGACCTTGGTGATATTGGCTAGGCACAGTTGCTAGATTTCACTATTTATATTTTGAGATCATTTTTTTTTGTGATGTACTATATGTGTGTGCTGTTTTATATGCATATAGGTGGTACCACATGCTATTTATTTTTGTGCTGGTTTTGGCTCGATAATATACACAATGTTAGCCCGTGGCCTGGAGTTGAACCCAGGTGTCCAGGTTCGTAGTGCAGTGCACCACCACTCACTGATGTGAGCCAGGGTAAATAGTCAATTCTCATCAGTATCTAAAGTAATATGTTGGTGTTTTCATATTGCTCCTAAGAGATAAAGGTCAATCTTGAAAATGCTGACTGCGTAAACTGTGTCTGGATCTGTGACTTTTTTTCGGTTACCATGTTCGTAAAACTATACCGCGCTCATGAAAAACATTCCACAGTCCACTCGATGCAAAGTTACGCACTCCTCACGCGCACGATGTGCCTGTGTAACCTGCACTCTCGATCCAAAAAGAGTCCCGTAGACGCTTCGCTGAGTCTTGGTGAAGGTTCGGACCGCGCGCGGGATCAGATTGTCGCCGTGTTGGTGTTTATTATACGACACTTTTCGAAACCCAAATAGAATTTTACAGCTAGTCAATCACGAGCAACTGCTTTCCTGGAGCGTTTTTTGTGAAAATGTGGGTGGTATTGTCCGCGCATCGCCGAAGTAAGACGGCCTTTTGTCGTGGCCACCCCTGTCGTCAGACGCAATTGCACGGTAAATGCGTCTGTAAAAATTCGTATTGTGTGTCGGCAAACAGAGCAAAATAGATTTTTTTTCTCTCTCTCATCCAGAGCATTAAGATTAACACAGTTCCTTTTGCTCTCTGGGTTAATCCGGCCAGTGTTGATACACGATGCTCTTAGCTTATGCCAGTCTGTCGTCTTGACCGCCTGATTTCACAGACAAAATCCATCGTTATTACACCTAACGTTTTTTAAGAGGATTAAGGTATTAGCTGCTTTAGAAAAGCCGTCTAATCTTCCATTCAGTGGAGAGAAAGAGAAAAAATAGACTATTTGTTCTTTTTCATTTTTCAATTGCCCTCACGGATCAAAAGGAGGATGCTTTAAAACCTGGTGCTTTCACTCCACATAATGGCCCAGGCAATGCGTGGAGCCTCAAGCCCAAACGCACATTGTGGCTCCGTAACTCACACATTCACATGTAGGACAATATTTGCGTGCGCAGCGGTGATCCGATGTGGTACAGTTGGGTCTTTGTGGCCGGTAAACAAGGCAAGGGAACATCCATTCCCGGCTGTTAACCGCCGACGTCCGTGGTGGTGGCTGGCGAAGCGAAACAGTCGTCTTTCTCAAAAAACGACACGAAAACTAAATTTTCAACAACAACAACACCTCCGTCAATAACACCGTGGCCTCGGAAGGCAAGGTGTATCGTAGGTGACGTTCCGGGCAATGGCCCTTCTTCACAGCACCGAGAAGCAAACGTAGCGTCTCTGTAATATTTGGTGCTTTATAAATATGGACGTATTGCGATAGGCGAGGGTATGAATTCATATAACCTTTAAAACAGTCTGCATCAGCAGTAGGCCAAGCTTTCCCACCTGATGACGGACGCTTGTGTTGCGCCCGAAACGTCGTGATTTAATTTAGTTGTTTTCATTGATTTATTTCTATTTTTTACCTACATGACTTTACCGAAAAAACCAAAGAGTATGAATTCGTAGAAGTTTGTGTGCTCCCAAATGGTCATCGTGGCCACATCTAGCGACGCATCCAAACTCCACGCCTTGCTCTTCACCTGGTTTTTCGAGAGCTCGTAAGGATGGGTTTAAAGCGGTGAATGAAGCTGATGACAAACCCCGATATCTCGCAGAGATGAGGATTGGGTCACAAAAGCGTAGGCTTCGGTCAGAGTCCCACGATGGATGTCAGTTGCTCACCGGTTCCGAGAAGCTGTGACAGAGTGGCTGTCTCACAGCTAGGAAGGTTGCGCGTTGGTCGGGTTCAGGGGTCAATTCGAGTTACACTTTGCGCAGAGTCAGCTCTCATTGTGTTGTAGATTCATCCCGGCCGTAGAAATGTCCACCACCGGTTTATGACGAGTTGAGGACTTTCTGACGCTTGTTTGAGTTGAGGGATGTACCGAGTACAGGGATGTGAGTACGTACGTTGAACTTCTTTCGCACCATACGCAGCCAACCTTGCGAATCGGAGGTGCAGGATGTACGTTGCTTACATTTTGTTAAGCAGACTCGCTTAATTATGCCAGTCGTTTTGTGCAAGAGTTGAAAACTGAAAACACGAGCTGAGATATGTATATATAAGTTGAATTCAAACTTATTTATTTTGTTGCTGAAGATGAGAGAGATTTTCACTTCGGCCTCTGTGGAGGAGGCTGTTAACGACTCCAATGGGTGGCTGGCTAACGGCAGTGAGCAGCAGAGTACCACGTGACTCGCACAGAGTCAGGTGGCACCGTGGGGAGCAGAGGTTGTGTATCTACCAGTACCTTTAACACTTGAATGAATAATCGAATTTGTCATTTACATATTCTAACTGACATGTTACTAAGACGCTTTCAATTTGTGTGGTCACTGCAGCAGTTTAACTTGAGATGATCTCTCTTGATGCGAGCGGGCGTTGGGTGGGTCCGCGGCTCTCAATTGCAGCATCTCGAAACTTGTGAACTCCCCCAAAGTTGTGAAGTCAGATCCCACAAACGTGACGTGGAGGAACGCGCAGGACACAGACGACCGGCCACAGGGGAGATCGATCTCCCGCGATCGCTGCGATTGCACGGCGCGCGAAGCACCCCAGACTCTCCCGACAGCGCCCTGCCGCCTCTACCCCTCTACGCCTCTCCGCCAGCGTCCGCTCAAAGTCACGTGTCAAGCAGCCTCCCACTTCTGCTCACCTCTGTTGGTTTAGCATCTTTCAGCTTTCATTTTGAGCTGAACGAGTAGAGCCACGGTGATTGATGGATTTAAATACCATTTAATGTTATTTTTTTGGTGAAATGGACATTTTCTGACTTAGCGCTGTAAACAGGATATGAGTGGGAAGGAGTTTGAAACCTGCCAGTTCAGATTAGTTGAAAACTCGCGTGCTGTGCTAAACACCACTTTCATCGCCCAGACAGTGGCCATGGGATTAGATCCTGGATTGTTCAAGAATAAAACAATGGCAAGATTTCTGTCTGTCACCAAGTTAAAATTAGTTTTAATCTCTAATGTTGTATGAAAACCATCTCATGAGCCCTCCCGTACCAAAGACAGATCACTGCGTGATTCAACTCTGCGTCATCGTTGGCTAAACTATATCACGAAAAGATGGGGGCTGAAAATAATATCTGTGGCCCCATCAGAATTTGAGTTAAATTCCCCCGAAAAAGTGGCGTAATTTTCCCGTGGATTTGAGAGGTCGTTGAATGTGTGCGGGATCCGCCACTGGGTGGCCTCCGTCGCCGTCGTCAGATCGTGCCACTTGGCGAGAGCTTGCTCAGGCAGGCCGCGTGGAATGCGCCCAAGCCACCGCACGGCCCTAACGCCGTTCCCGCGGCTACGATGTCTCACACGACGACAACGGCGGAGGTGGCGGTGGGGATGTTTCGTTGTTATAAGGTGGACGCCCGCCCGCCCGCCTACCCCATTGGTGTGAGCGCATCGGTTTTGAAAAGGTTACTCTGAAAACATGGTCGGGTTTCCAAACTGCACCTACCAGCAAAGCAAAAGAGTTAATCTTCTTAACTTTGGAAAAAAAAAGAGAGTCTGCTATTCACGAACTTAACTTGCAAAAGACAAATAATTGCCGAACATTTTTAGAGCGTTTTGCCGTGTAAGTTGTGCCATCTGAAAGAAGTGTATGTGGATTAGACGCAGTCTGGTTTGTGTAATGTTTTCCTTGGTGTTAGTATCGATGTGAGTGCACTTCAACAACACCGCTTGCCTCTTTAGTCAATCCACTGCCGGATGTGGGCCTCTATGTGTGAGGATTAGTTTGACCATACTTCACCTTGCTGGTCAGTGCAGGTTTTGTGAAGAAAGGAATGATCCATCGAGTTTTTGGGTGAGTCCGATTCTTTCCTTCACCGTGTGGTCCTCGGTGCCACTGCAGCAAAGCCGTCGTACGCGTCGGCGTTTCTCGCGCACTCGGGATCCCCGAGCGGTGCAGCTCTCCCGTGATTACCCACAAGCGGCATCACATTCAGGGCTGGAGAATTGGTCATGACGAGCAGGCGGGCCGTTGAGGGGGGGGGGGGGGTGTGCCGAGCACCGCAGTGTTGAGAAGCGCTGGCCTAGTTCATGGAGTTGAACTCTTTATAACCCCTCCCCACCCCAGTGCAGTGAAGGGTCCCAAACCTGTGGCCTGCAGGCCACACCCAGTGGTCTGCAAGTCCGTGGAAAGTGTGAACATCGTGGACAATGTGTCACGTGGTGGTCCTCATTGAGGACATTCATCCATTTCTTTCTGACCGAGTTTCCGTAGGAATTTTGGGAAGCAGTAGAATGAGCATCTCTGCAGAGATTGCTCTCAGAATGTTAGAGGACGCTTGCCACATCCACGACATGGGAGCATCAACTGTGATGTTTTGGGCACGTGGCTCCATTCTTATTGGTTGACCCCGCCTTGCAAGTTTCTCTGTGCTACATCGTACGTACGTCACTGTTTGTCTCGGCAGATGCGGTTCCCTCCTTTGCAGAGATTGGACGGGCTGTGGAGCGCGTGGTGGCCGAGGGAAAGGGCGTGGACAGTGAGGGGCGTGCGTGGGACGACGTTCTCATCTCGCACGAGCACAGCCACATCCTCTCGTGCTGCTGGCTCACGCTCAAGGTTCCCCCCGCCTCCCCCGCCCGCTCTTTGTCGTTGCTCGTGCCTCTGTCGGGGGAACCACGAGCCGTGTTTTTTATGCGCCCGTCTGGCAGTGATCGACACAACATCAAGTTCGGTTGCTGTTAAGGACTGGCAGCCGACAAAACCGTCCACGTTGATCAAAACCTGGTGATATAGAAACGGGGATAATTAAGAAGCCTTTTCGACCACGGTGATTGCATCACGTTCCGTGTACATGCATTGCTCCCTCTCCCCGTGTGACGTCAATACGTGCGACATCGCGAGATGCCAACAGTACGCACGACGTCGTCAAACGACGCCGCACGCCGCTCATCCACGAGAGCGGGCCGGGCGCGGATGCCCCAGGTGGCCCGGCAGGGCCGAGCCGTCGGTAACTCCGATCCGCGCGCGTGCCCACGCCCGATTTCCCCGAACAACCCCGCGTAGGAAATTGGCCACCTGATGGGCGGCCTCGGCGAGACCGTGCTGCTGCTGTCGGCGCGGGATCAGAGGGCGGCCGGAGCGGGGACGCCGTTTTTCGCTCTCGTGCAAACCATTACGGACGTGCTGAAGCTCATCCTCACTTGCTGCAGACACAAGGTGCCAGCGCCCGTGCACGAGATAACTCGGCATCTTGCTGGTAGAATGTGTTGTCTAGGCCACACTGGGTTTGTGCATCACGATTTTCTTGCGTTATGGGCTCACTGAGCAGTCCCGTTGTGATGATGTTTAAGTGTGTGCGTGCTTGTCTTGTGTGTGGAGAAGAGAGGTGAAATCTTGAATGTGTCCTGTGGTTCACACCCAGTGATCCGACTGTACAGATTCTCTAGGCTGTGCTCTGTAGCTCTGCGACGTGTTTGTGGGTTCTGCTGGACGTCGTTCGGCACGATGTCCAACATTTCGCTGCACGCGCTGGGAGATTCGTCTTCAATTCATTTCCTAAAGAAGCTCCCGGCATGTGGAGCGAAACGTAGGACAACGTGCGGTACAACCCGAAAACACATTGAAAAATGACTCTTAACACCCGTGGCTTCTTCACCTTCCCAGAGGATGCCCTGATTGGTGGATCCAGTATCACTGCGGACTAAGGGCTTTGAGATTAGTTATTCGGCCATGGTGACCGTTAGACCAATAGAGACTTAATGGACTAGTAATACAAATAAACAATTCAACAATTGTGATAATGTTAAATTGGTGTTGGCCAAACTCCCAAGGTTTAAATCTGCTAATCTCACATAATTGCCTATGTTCAAACACATCTACCTGTCAGCTGGACAGTTGCTTTATGAGTGTGCAAATCGAGAGATTTCTCTTCTTGCCATGTAATTGTGACTTCTCTTTGTAATCGTTGTCACGGCTCTGTTGGTCGATGAATGTCTCTTGTCTTTATACCGCCAGGGGACAAATAATCAATAGCGGTTCTCTCAATGTGCAGTTGTGCAAGGGCACTGCCATCACTGATGATGTGAGACATCCGCCATCTGGTGGCAAAATCTGTAAAATACATCTTGTGCATGAGCATCGGGATCTTACCCAATTTAGGACACAATTCTTAATTAAAATTGCACCGAAAGAGGTTACATACATATTACGTCTGATTTACTCTATTGAAACACCCTCCGTATAACAAAGTTACTGGAAAAGTGCTTTGTAAGTAAACATTACATTAGGATGTATTGGTGGTAATCGGTGGCGCTCATTAGCACGCACATGAGTGGCGATGCGCCCCGTTTGACCACAGTCTCACACACCCCATTCCACTGGCACATCCGAGCCAGCACGGAGGCCATCACGGCATGGGTGGTTTTCCATTACTCCTTTGCCGTGCCAGGCAGTGTGTGTGAGCGCGTCATAGCAGTTTGTGTGCGCGCGTGCAAGTGTATGTGTGTGTGTTTCACTGCATCATCTACACGCAACTCGACTCGTTCATTGCTTGTGACAACGCCACAGTGGCTAGGAGATGTTAACTACCTCGCATGGTACGCAGGAGGTGTGTGGGTTCAATCCCTACCCTGACGCCTGCTGCTATGTATTTGGAGTCTGCGTGTCTCTCTCCCCGTGGTCGCGTGGATTTTTCTCCGGGTCCTCCGGTTTTTCCCTCCACATTTAGAATCAACATTTCCACCCGATAAGCCACTTTGTTAAGCTATCATTTGTGGCCAGGTCGCTTCTGAAAAAGAGCTGCATAGCTCAGTGGGCCTGACCTGGTAAAATAAAAAAAAGAGTTTAGTTTAGTACCACGGCTCGGCTGCTGCGGTGGAAAAACAACCGGGCGCCTCCCGAGCCGTGCCAGGCTGGCCCGGCATGGCCCCGGCGCGGCTCCTTCGTGCCCAGTGGAAAGAAAGTGTGTTGATGTCTGTTCGGCTGAAAGCAAGTGTGTTGATGTCTGTCCGGCTGAAAGGCTGCCTGTGCTGTGTGTGTGTGCAGGGTGCTATAGACGGGTGCTGCCTGTGCTGTGTGTGTGTGCAGGGTGCTATAGACGGATGCAGCCTGTGCTGTGTGTGTGTGTGCAGGGTGCTATAGACGGGTGCTGCCTGTGCTGTGTGTGTGCAGGGTGCTACAGACGGGTGCTGCCTGTGCTGTGTGTGTGTGCAGGGTGCTATAGACGGGTGCTGCCTGTGCTGTGTGTGTGTGCAGGGTGCTACAGACGGGTGCTGCCTGTGTTGTGTGTGTGTGCAGGGTGCTATAGACGGGTGCTGCTTGTGCTATGTGTGTGTGCAGGGTGCTATAGATGGGTGCAGCCTGGGCTTTGTGAAGCTGTGCGGGGCACTCAGCAGCCACCCCAGCCCTGCCTTGCAGAACATTCCCTCCATCCTCTTGGAAGAGGTGAGACTCCATCTGTCACCAAATCTTCCGGTAGCGAGTCGCACAGTCTCATATTATTACATCTGAAATGTCTAAGTGAGATTTCCCGCTCAAATAATCATCGATACGGTTACCGGTGCTGGGAATTCAACGTTCTCGTGGCAGGGGCAAAGCCCATCCGCAGGACGACTGACGTGCAAGCATTTCTCAGCGGGCCGGCTCTCCCTCCCTCTCTCTGTCGCGCGCTTTCCGCCGCCCTCGCGCACCGCGTGGGTTTCTTCGCAGGCGCTGGCATGCGTGGGCACCAGCTCGTCGGTGACGCGCCGCGCCGGCGCGCTGCCGCCCCTGGTGCTGGGCCTGGTGAGCGGGGAGTGCCGCTCGCGCGGCCACTGCCCGCTGCTGCGCCGCGCGCTGGGCGCGCTGCTGCGGCTCGCCGCCCGGCCCCTGCCCGCCGCGATCGACCCGACGCGCGACCTGCCGCAGGTGCGTCTGACGGCGAACGCCGATGGCGTTGGTGCCACCGCCGACCAAATCTAGTTCGCCGACGTCGTCGTCGTCATCATCGTCCCTCCCCCGCACCTCCGATTAGCACGGCTGGCTACGTACGATGCGAAAGAAGTTAAACGTACGTACATAAGGCGTCGTCGTTATTATTATCGGCAGTGATCGATCCACTGCTGGACAAAAGCCATCCCAAGCTGAAGCCATCTCTCTGCCGCTGTTATACACTCAGCGTTGCACTCCGCCAATCGTGACGCGGATCTCCCGTGTCGCCCTGTAGGTGCACGCGCTGCACATCCTCCAGGCGCTGTTCCGGGACTCCTCGCTGGGTGCCGCCATGATGGAGTCCGCCGGCGGCGCCGCCCTCCTCGCCATCCGCAGCCTCAGCTCCCCCAGCTGGGCCGTGCGCAATGGGGCCATTCAGCTGTTTGGTAAGGCCTGACGGACTTACGACAAGATCGCGACTCGAACCCCGTTGTCCTCTCGGTTGTCACCCGGCGGGACGAGGAGCCCTTTCGGGATCTCTCTCGCAGCCCCTTCGTTTTGGAGGACGGCCCGCCTCTGAGATCCGTTCTTCACGGCGAGCGATTGTCGAGGGTGGGGGTGAGGGGTTTTCTCCTCGCTGTTGGGCACAGTCGCTGCCTGGCTGCCTCGCGTTCCAACTCGGTGGGACTCGGCCCGGTAGCTTCGCGTGCCGTGCTGCCAAATTCAACGTAAGTATCTTGATCTGAGAGTGGACCAAAATCAAAATAGTGAAATAAAGCAGTGGACAAGAGCAGGTTTGGATGCTTTTGGAAGTCTGAACTTGATAATCAAAATCAACACAGCAGTGTGCCTAAACAGGAATGCTTTCATTCGTGTGATTTTGCCTGCTCTTACACACGGATGAGAAACATGGACGTTGATGAAAAAGACGGAACTAAAAGCGATTCCGCTGCTGCGTGGACAGAGGCAGCTGAGCGGATTTAAGAAACCCGCCCCATTGTTTCGTCTGCCGCACCGGGAGTAGGGAGTTGAACCGGCAAGCTCTGGTTTGCAATTCCAGCGCTCTCATCGTTGCACCATGACCACGCCCTTGTCCGTTTTGAGACGCTAGACGATTGTTGGGTGAAGTAAATGAACGTGAGCTCGTCATTGCCACTTACGCAATCGCCGCCAACGCGGAGCAGCACGCCTGTCGTGCCAGCCCATCCCCGGGCGGGCACCTGCACATCCGCCCACCGTCTTGCGACGGTGGCGGCAGCATCCCTAAATCACCTGCCACTCGATTTTCTCTCGCCCGCGCGTGCGCCCAGGGACCCTGGTCGGGCGCATGCTCGGCCAGATGCGGACGCACGACGAGCACTCTCCGCAGAACGCCGTGACGGCCGGCGAGTTCCTCCGGCACTACCCCGAGCTGCCCGCCTTCCTCCTGAGCGAGCTGCGCGCGGCCGCCGCGCCGCTCCTCGGGGGTCGCGACCTCGAGCTCCTCGTCGCCGTCGCCGCGGCCTCGGGCGCTCGTCCCCCGGCGGAGGCGCTCGCCCCCGAAGGCCGAGCGCCGGCCGGGAGCGGCGCCACTGAGGGCGCCGGTGGGGTCGGGGGTCGCGGGCCGTGGGAGGGGAGCCGTCCGAGTGGGCGCCTCCATCTCTCCCCGTCTCTTCATCCCGTCCTCACCCTCCTCTCCAAACTGCAGCCAGGTGGCGAGGACTCGCACAGGTAACTGCGATCGCGTTGGGTGCGTGCGCATCGGCCTGCTGATGTTCCGATGCGGTTGATGTCAAAGCCAGGAGGTGCAATGGCATTGTGGAATAAAATAATAAAATGCATGATGGCCAGAATCATAGGCAGAGGAGATGAGAGACCAGATGATTAAACTTTTTTTTTTAATCTAGCATCTCATGTTTGTAAATTGAATCAGAAATTGCAACTATTAATGATCTACTTGTTATGAAATTGTTATTTTTTTTTACGCAGAGCTGTATTTGTTTATGAATCCCCCGTGTTAATTTTTGCTGCAGCTTGTTGTCCGAGTTCGTGGCCCCGGTCGTGGCGCTGGCGAGCGACCCCATCCACGACGTGCGGGTCCTGGCTGCCAAGACGCTGGTCGTCATGGTGACAAGGTCGCGACGCGCGCCGATGCTGATCGCCCTCGCCACGGCCCTGCCGGAGCGGTGGTGCCCCCTGGCCGTGCCGCAGAACGCGCTGCACGGGCGCTTGCTGCAGATGCTCGCCCTGCTCAAGTGTCTGCTCAAGGAACGGGGAGGGTGAGCGTGAAAACGAACAAGAGCTCCCGAGCTCATCGGATTCCTCCAGTCTAACTAAATATTCTGATTAACAATGAAGGATCTTGCACGGTACTTGTAATCAACGCAAGCAAGCACTGATGGTAACTGCCAGGGCGAAGGACGATGAAGGAGGAGGAGGAGGAAGATGCGTATCAGACCAACGATGTCATCTACAGGTGGAAAAATATAAATCCATCAAATATATAAAACCACTGAACGTAAATACTGTAACATTAATATATGCAAAAATGACATCAAATAAATTAATGTTAAATAGGGATGAACCATGAAACTATCATTTTTAACTGAAGGTAAAATGTAATATAAATAATGCCGAAGGAATTGACTGTAAGCTTGCGTAAGTGAATATGCTTGTGATTCATATTTGGTTTCTGTCGGGCGAGCCTGAGGAGGTATCCTGCTAATTGCGGCTCTTTAGCCTCCGCCCCCCGGCACAGCCAAACAAATCTCGTTGTCACGTGGTGGACAAACGTTCCAATTCATTCAGTTTTTCGGCAAACTAAGAGCATGTTTAAAATCATCAACATTTTGCTTGTAATTCAATGAGCTGGCTTGCCAAATAACGGAATGGGATTAGTGCGTGTGCGCCCGTGTGGTAACCGGAGTTTACCGCACGGTGTCCTGGCCTAGCAGTAGCACGATTGCCGCTCAGTGAACATGTTCACGGTTCGAATCTGGCAAGCCGCCCTGGTTATTACTGCGGGTGGTTAAATTGGACATATTTGATATTGCCCACGCTGTCCGTCTTGTCAGATGACGACCACTCCATCTCGGTTAACCAGTGTGTTGAGGTACTTCCATTGATGGCTGAGCAAATTGACATCAATCGCAATCATCGCTTGAAAACTTGAAACACGGTGAGACTTTGCTGAATAAGCAAGCATAATCGTAAGAACAGACGCGGTGCGAGTCACTTCTCGCATGCAAAGCTCTCCGGGATGCCCCGGTGTAAATCACTATTATCATCATCATCATTCGCGTGTCGTTGCGTTCCAAGGCTCGACCTCTGTGCCCTTTGTCAGCGCCCTGGAGCAGCCGGTGCTGCACTCGCTGGTGGCCGCGCTGGCGTCGCGTCGCTGGCTGCTGGGCGAGGCGCGCGTGTGCCCGCTGAGTCGAGCGCTCGCCGTCAGGCTGCTGGCGACGCTGGCGCGGGCCCACGGCTCCCACCCGGGCATTGCGCGGCTGTCCGCATCGCTCCACGCCATCGCGCAGGACGAGCTCCTCCTTCTCCACCAGCCGGCGGCGGCTCGCGAGGTACGTCTTGTGGCAACGTGCGACCGGGTAGCACCAAGGGCTTCACTTCGCGGTCGGTATTTGCTGGAACGCCGCTCTGCCGGCTGGGAGTAACCCTAAGCATATCATCAGTCACGTATCCAACTAATATAGTGTTCTAAGGTATAAACTACTTTTATTTTACCAGGGAAGGCCCACTGAGCTATATAGTTATTTTTCAGAAGCGACCTGACCACAAATGATAGCTCAACTTAGTGGCTTATCACGTGGAAATTTCTAGCAGCCAAATACTCTAAACGCACGTTTCTAAATGTTGGGGGGAAACACCGGAGGACCCGGATAAAAATCCACACGACCACGGGGAGAGTAAACATGCAAATTGCAAATACACAGCAGCAGGCGTCACGACCTCCTGTATACCGGGCGAGGCAGTCAACATCTCGCCACCGTGGCCGAGTTGTTGACACGCGCACTGCGCGTCCTCGATCTCCGAGTCGGTGTCGGTGTCGTACGCAGATCGGCGCCGCCGCGCTGCGGGGCGAGCTGGCGGCCTTCGTCCTGACGCTGGCGCTGGGCGCCCCGGCCGGGCCGTGCGACGCCCCCGCCGTGCTGCGCCTGCTCCGCTGCCGCGACGTCGACGTGCGCCGGCGGAGCCGCGAGTGGCTCGCCGAGCGCGGACGGGGAAGCCACGGCGCCGACGCCGCCGCGCGCATCATGCTGGTGAGTGTCCGCCCGCGCGCCGATCGTTGCGTCTCTGTGGAGCATCCTGCGGCGCAGGCCAGCGTCGCGTCTTCTCATCCTCCTCCTTCGCGAGCTGCCTTTCGACTTGTCTCAGAGACGATGGGCACAATTGGATCTCTCTCCGCCTCGTGGCTTGTCTCTGTTTGTAGTGTTACGTAGAGACGCAGACGTCATCACCGGCTGACACGCGTGGACTGTGCGTGTATATTCACTTTGTGAACAAATGATTGACTTTTTAACTCCAAGCATTGTAAAAAACACGGATTCATTGATAAAAAACAATCCTAACACTCACGATACATACAAAGATAATGCATGTCAAAACACATTTTTTAGGTTTTATTCAAATGACTTGCGCATGCTATGCTCGCAATACATTTAGCTTAATGGAGCGGGAATAACTGTGCAAACAAGACTGAGCGAGCAAGAAAGAGTACAGCCAAGACAACAGCAACAAGACAGTAAACTTATTATTGATTGGCAACCTGGAATTGTGACGATGTATTGAATCACGGGAGGGAAGGTAAAAGAATTTCATGTCAGCAGTGAATGTGGACATGGAGTTAGAAGTTGTCATTCAAGGAGTAAGAAGCATAGAAAGAGACCCCTTTGAACACCCGAGCGTCATCTTTCATCTCCGCTGTCCACTCGTCTCTTCCAGCCCATCATTGAGATACAATTCGCTTTCCTCGTATTTGAAAGACAGTGGACGGAATCCATCCGTTCAGTGGAGTCGTGTTTGGAAAGCACTTGTCAAATTTTATAATTCTATCTTCCCGTCCGCTATTCCTATTCTGCCTTCAACACGGCTAGTGCTGGAAACCTTAATCACTATTCCATACGGTAATCACCCTCCTGGATTTACCACTACCACATCACAGGAATTTGCCCTCCCAAAGTCTTTAAACGTGGTTGGGAAAATCAGAATCGACATTCCAGCCTCTTGGCCTGTTCCACCTGCTGCCTGTCCTCCCCACGTCTGGTCCCATCATTTCCTCGACTTGCGTTGCTTTTGTAATCCCCACCTTGAAAGCAGGGAGTCTCGTACCCCGAATCCATCATCACCAGCCGGGTGGCTCAGCGGCAGAGCGAGCGGCTCACAATCACAAGCATGCGAACCGGTTGGGGGTTGGCTCTTGCCCATCATCCCGACAGGGTTGATAAAAATCATGAGTATCACATTGTGGGGAAGTAACACAACTGGTTATTCTATGGAGAGACTCTGGCTTTTTATTTGATTACAGACGTTATCACATTCGAGATCCATCACAGCTCTTGAGATAGCTTACGTCTCTATTAATTCATTCCTGATTATATGAAAACTGCTGCCATCATTTCCGTGCATAAAATGGCAAGCGCTTGCTCGATACTGCTTGCACACTCCCACTCTTTCTATAACCTCTTCTCATTTTATTAAATCCTAGACAGAGTCCCCGGTTCACATTTATCAAATAAGTAAGTCATAACATCTGATGTTGCGCACTCTTATGGGTCCAGTCCATCACGAATGCGCATGCTTGGTCTGCATGGCTCCAGTCCGCTCTGGTTTGTGCTCTGGCCAGCCCACTGAGACACTGTGAAGTCACCGCTGCTTTCGTGACAAGAACAAGATCTCGCATTGGTCTGCCTTAAGATTTCCTTCAACGCATAATCATATGGGCTGCTCCTCTCCCCCCATTGCCCTTCTCTCCAGCAAGCAAAGCTCATATTCTTAGTTATTTTCGGTAAAGTCACGTAGGTAAAAAAAGTGAAATTAAAATTTATAAAAACAATTATTTTTTTATTAATTTTACGTAGGTAAAAAAAGTGCAATTAAAATTCATAAAGAATTATTTTTATTAATTTAAATTTAACTTTTTTTACCTACGTGACTTTACCGAAAAAAACTAAGAGTATGAATCCTTGCAGTCACGAAAGCTTCAAATCAAGCAAAGCTCAGCCCTCGATCCGTGCAGCAGCCAGGCCCTGCCTGCTAATACATAATCGGTCACTCTGCTGCTGTCTCGCACTGCGGCCCAGGCCCATCCACACTGCTTACTCCCTCCCCCTGTTCAATTCCAAGCCCAAGATGTCTTGCCCTTTATCCATAATCATTTCCCAATGTCGAACCGCTCCCGCTCTATGTAGTAACTTTTATTGACTGTACTGTACAGAATCCCTCTGCTTTACATTACTCCATTACAACCCTGCTCTATATTCTCCTTCATGATGATTCCGTACTCCCCCTCCCCCTCCTCCTCCCCCTCCTCCCCCTCCTCCTCCCCCTCCTCCCCCTCCCCCTCCTCCCCCTCCTCCCCCTCCCCCTCCTCCCCCTCCTCCCCCTCCTCCCCCTCCTCCCCCTCCTCCCCCTCCCCCTCCTCCCCCTCCTCCCCCTCCTCCCCTCCTCCCCTCCCCCTCCTCCCCCTCCTCCCCCTCCTCCCCCTCCTCCCCCTCCCCCTCCTCCTCCTCCTCCCCCTCCTCCCCCTCCTCCTCCTCCTCCTCCTCCCCTCCTCCCCCTCCTCCCCCTCCTCCCCCTCCTCCCCCTCCCCCTCCTCCCCCTCCTCCCCCTCCTCCCACTCCCCCTCCTCCCCTCCTCCCCCTCCTCCCCCTCCCCCTCCTCCCCCTCCTCCCCCTCCTCCCCCTCCCCCTCCTCCCCCTCCCCCTCCCCCTCCTCCCCCTCCTCCCCCTCCTCCCCCTCCTCCCCCTCCTCCCCCTCCTCCCCCTCCTCCCCCTCCTCCCCCTCCCCCTCCTCCCCTCCTCCCCCTCCTCCCCCTCCTCCCCCTCCTCCCCCTCCTCCCCCTCCTCCCCCTCCTCCCCCTCCTCCCCCTCCTCCCCCTCCTCCCCTCTCCCCCTCCTCCCCCTCCTCCCCCTCCTCCCCCTCCTCCCCCTCCTCCCCCTCCTCCCCCTCCTCCCCCTCCTCCCCCTCCTCCCTCCCCCTCCCCCTCCTCCCCTCCTCCCCCTCCTCCCACTCCCCCTCCTCCCCCTCCTCCCCCTCCCACTCCCCCCTCCTCCCCTCCTCCCCCTCCTCCCCTCCTCCCCCTCCTCCCCCTCCTCCCTCCTCCCCTCCTCCCACTCCCCCTCCTCCCCCTCCTCCCACTCCTCCCCCCTCCTCCCCCCTCCCCTCCTCCCCCTCCTCCCCCCTCCCCCTCCTCCCCCTCCTCCCCCTCCTCCCCCTCCTCCCACTCCTCCCTCCTCCCCCTCCTCCCCCTCCTCCCCCTCCCCCTCCCCCTCCTCCCCCTCCTCCCCCTCCTCCCTCCCCCTCCTCCCCCTCCTCCCCCTCCTCCCCCTCCCCCTCCTCCCCCTCCCCCCCCCCTCCCCCTCCTCATCCGCAGCAGCAGCAGCTTCCCTCTCCGACAATGCAGCATGTTGAGGTGCAATGCTGGTCACGTGCTCTGACAAACCCACATTGTATTTTTGCATCATCTGCCCTTCTAAAAATCACTGTCGTGCGAATATTTATTAATATATAATCACGGCCCATGAAATGCATTGGGAGAATTGCTACAGTACCCTTTCCGAGGCTGATCCTGTCAAAATAATAAGTAGCACTTTTGTCTTTAGGGGATTCTGAAATTGAGCAAAGATGTTGTGCTCCTTACCGGATTCTGGCAGCAGAGTGGGGATATATTTGCTGAAAAAAACCCAATTTTTTTAAACACGCACATTTGCCAAAGTGTCGGTGTTCCCGAGCCAGCTTAGTAACTATGAGTGGACCAACGCCGGTGATTGGCGCGTGTACGCGGTGTAAATAAGCTGTCGAGTACAACACAAACATCACAGGGCCAGGAGGTGAAGACTCAGAGAACGTGGTTTGAGGTTGGCGAACATCGTCGTTCACTCGGCGCTCTCGGCTTGTTCACGTCCACTTCGCACAAAGTGGCTGCGCAATAGCTTTGGGGTTGCCTGCTCTTTTGCTTCTTTTAATAAAGTTTAGTAGTGCCAGTGCCAGTTGAGCAACCGATGTCGTACGGGGCCTGTGACTGGGAGGAAAGGGCTACGTTTTGGCAAGGAACTACAATGATCAGCGGTTGTGGTATAAAGTTATTTATTTTTCACCAATGTTTTCCCTTTTCCACTGTTGAAACAGCTAACACAGAATAGTCTGTGTGCATAATCTACATAATCTAGCTTTAAATACTTTAAACTGTCGGAGGACTGGGTATAAAAAAAAGCAATGTCCGAAAAAGCAATCTTTCTTGAGACATGTGGGCAGGCATTGCTGTGGGATTTCAGGTCTTGCTGAAATAATGCAATTAACAAAACGCTGTGATCCCAATTAAATAATTGGGATCACATATTTTCACTTTGCGTGCCTTTTCCATAGCAGACAGAAGTTGATGGTGGGGGGAGGGGGTACGGTAAGTTAGGAAATCACTCGCAAAAGATTACAACAGACCGAGATGAGATGTGATAGGCCAATAAAAAAAATATGTCGTTAATTTTCCACAAATAGTTCAGGGCCAAAAAAAGTCAGGGGATTGATGAGTGGAGAAAGGGCTTGTGGCTGGCAGTCCGGCGCACGCTTCATACTCGAAAAACGACGCAAGGAGGAGGTGGCCTACATAACAAAAAACAGTCACACAGAGTTTTGGCTTCTGCTGTTGTATTAAAGGGTTTTAAGCATTATATTTAGAGGCTTTGTATGAACAGCCCTATTCCCCTCCCCTTGCGACAATGTATATTTTTTGTTCCCAAAGAGTGGCTGCAACAAAACATCTCCAACCCAGATGTAAGAGAGAAAGAGAGAGAGAAAAAAGAACCGAAAAAAGAGAGAGAAGCTGGAATTCATTTGGGTGTTCATTATTCCTGCGTGGAATGCATTCCTCGCAACATCTGAGCTGGCATATTAAATACGTCGCTGAAATTCTAGCGATCTTAATCTAATACAAGGAGCTTTTTAAAGATTAATTGGCTGCAGTTTTGAGTAATAAGCTCTGCCTATGGGCAAGTTTGGCCATTTCAATGGTGCAGTCACCCCACCCACTCCTAGCCGGCTACCC